GGTGCGCGGTGCTCCCGGTGCACGGAGCCCAGGTACACGGACCCTCGGTGCTGCCGGTGCACGGAGCCTCGGTGCTCCGCTGCATTCGGCCCTGGTGCGCGGTGCTCCCGGTGCACGGAGCCCAGGTACACGGACCCTCAGTGCTCCCGGTGCGCGGTGCTCCCGGTGCACGGAGCCTGGGTGCACAGAGTCCAGGTACACGGAGCCTCGGTGCTCCGCTGCATTCGGCCCTGGTGCACATTGCTCCCTGTGCACGGAGCCCAGATGCACGGACCCTTGGTGCTCCCGGTGCACGGTGCTCCCGGTGCACGGAGCCCAGGTGTACGGACCCTCGGTGCTCCCGGTGCATGGTGCTCTGGTGCACGGAGCCTGGGTGCACGGTGCTCCCGATGCATGGAGCCCCCGGTGCACGGAGCCCAGGTACACGGACCCTCGGTGCTCCCGGTGCACGGAGCCTCGGTGCTCCGGCACATTAGGCCCCGGTGCACGTTTCCCCCTGTGCACGGAGCTCCCGGTGCAYRGAGCCCAGGTACATGGACCCTCGGTGCCCCCGGTGCATGGAGCCCCTGGTGCATGGTGCTCCAGTACACGGACCCTCCATGCTCCCAGTGCACGTTGCTCCCTGTGCATGGAGCCCCTGGTGCACGGAGCCCCGGTGCATGGTGCTCTGGTGCACGGAGCCTGGGTGCACGTTGCTCCCGGTATATGGAGCCCCCAGTGCACAGAGACCAGGTACAAGGACTCTCGGTGCTCCCAGTGCACGGAGCCTGGGTGCGCAGTGCTCCCAGTGCATGGAGCCCCTGGTGCACGGAGCCCCGGTACATGGACTCTCGGTGCTCCCAGTGCATGGAGCCCCCAGTGCACAGAGCCCAGGTACATGGACCCTCGGTGCTCCCGGTGCACGGTGCTCCAGTGCATGGAGCATCGGTGCGCAGTGCCCCCAGTGCACGGAGCCTGGGTGCATGGTGCACGGAGACCCCGAYACACGGACCCTCGGTGCTCCCGGTGCATGGACCTGCATGAACAGGTGCTCAGTGCCCCGGTGTGTCATGCCCTCGGTGCAGAGTGTCCCTGGTGCATGGAGCCTGGGTGCTTGGTGTCCCAGTGCACAAAGCCTCTGTACTCCGAGAGCTCAATGGTCCCGGTCCCTGGTGCACAGAGAGCCCTGCTGCATAGTGTCCCTGGTGCATGGAGCCTTGGTACTCTGGGTGCTCCGTGCTCCCGGTGCATGGAGCTCAGTATCCACAGTGTCTTGGTACCCTGTGTGCAGGGAGCCTAGGTGCCCTGGGGCACAAAGCCCAAGGGTGCACTGTGCCTTGGTTCCCTGGTATTCGGTGCCCCGGGACCCTGAGTGCACAGAGCCCAGTTACCTGCTGTGCACGGAGCCCAGGCATCCCCAGTGCGCAACAGGGTATTTCTGTGCACAGAGTCCTCATCACGCTGATCCACAGGGCATCCTGTGCCCTGCTACCACCATGCATGGAGTCCCGGTACCAGGGAGYGCAGCACCCTGGTCCCGGCAGCACCGAGCTTGGCACCCTGGTGCAGAGCAGCTCCCTGCCAGGCCCGGCCCCAGGCAGCTCAGCAAGGTCCCCCACGCTCTGCAGGGACACTGAGGCCTCCTCCATCCGGAGCAGCTCCTCTCCCGAGGGCTCCTGCTCTGCTCCTCTCTCTCCAGCCATGGATCGTGTTTAGGTCGTTGAAGCTGCTGACTCAGATTAGACTCCTCATGGAAGATAAGCGCAGCACAAGCAACYGGCTGGGCCCAGCCCAGCGCTTGGGGTGGGTCCCCTGCCGAGGTCAGGGCGCTCGCGCCGCTCTTATCATCCATCTCCCGCCTGTAAATAGCAGTTTGCTCGCGAGGGGCAGGAGTCGCCGTGCAGGGTCATTCCCGGCCCCTCTCGCACCAGCAGCCCTGATCTGGACCTGCTCCAAACGCACCTGGTGCCTCTAGGGCCCTCCGTGGGTATCCAGCTGCTTTGCTGTGCTCCCTCCCTTCTCCACGTGGAGCTGGCCAGGGGCTCTCCCTGGCGAGGCACCTGTGGCATCGATGCATGGATGGATAGAAGGAGGGAGGGATGGACGGATGGAGGGATGGATGTCCCGAGGTGCCGGTCGGTGCGAGGGGCGCGCTGGGAACGCGCGCGTAGGAGGCAGCCCGCGTGGCCGGCGCTCACAGCAGCGCCACGCGGATTTTCCCTGCCGGCAGATTATCTCTTTGGCACTGGAAAATCCTCCCAAGCAGCTGCTGCGAGAAAGCGGCTGCAAATCAGGCACGCGGCCTCCCCGGCCAGGGCTGCACGGCAGCCTCCGAGCAGCCACAGAGGTTCCTCCTGTGCAGGTCCGCCAGGACATGCCCTGGAGCCCTGGAATAACCCTGCCCCCGCTAACCCTCTGCTTCACGGGCTGCAAATTGCACCTCCGGGGCCTGCTTTCTACCTTCCCAAGCAAATGAGTTTCCCTGCGAGCTCTCARACAAGAGCGCTGGCTCCTGCCGCGCTTTCCATCCGCAGGGAACTTTCCTAGGAGGGATTTCCAGGGGCGATGCCGGATCGTGCTCCTCGYGGAGCCAGCGCCGGGGGAGCCTGCAGATCCGGGCAGGAGCGAGGCTGTGTGCGAACGGAGCGGGGCCGGGGGTGTACGAGCCGCCCGGGCAGCTCCCGTCTGCCCAGTGTGGCCAGCGGGAGCGCCCTGCTGAGCATGGAAGTTTCTGTTCCGCCAAGGGCCTGAAAACTTCAGTGTCAAGTGGAACAAAATGCCCCCATTTCAACATCACCCACGAGGGGAAAGCAGAACTAACGTGCGCTCCCCGCCCCGCCACAGCACTGCAGCTCGCAGCCTTAGATGTGCACTTTAAACCCATTAAAAAAAAAAAAGAAAAACTGCAATATCTTATTTCGACAGCACAAGAATGCAGCTCCTTGGCCAGCAAAGCTAGGCTTGCGACTGACGTTTCAGTCCCAAATAATTCGCCACCTTTGTGCCCTTGGAGAGCGGCTCGTGCAGCAGCTGGAGCCTCATCCCTTTCCCTGCAGCCGGGAGCTGCGCCCTGATGGCCACGGTGCCCGACGGGTGCGACAAATCCCCCTTTTTTCCCCCTCTCTCCTGGCGAGGGACCTATCTTTATTTAGGGTTCTTTATGCGCATGTATATATTTCAAAGCGCTCAATGTGCTCAAGGCTTTGAGGAGCAACGAATCAACTATGGAAGAGGGAACTACAAAGAAAACTAGCAAATACTGTYTTTTCCTAAAGTAAGCGTTTCTGTCCCCGCCAAATAAAGAACCTAACGTGAGATTTCGGTTCTTGCTTTATAACTGCTGGGAAAAGTGCTCTGCTTAATGCAGGAGGCAGCTCCGTATCACTTGCTGAGACCAGAGAGAAAACTCACATCAAATATACTCAGAAATGAAAAGCAGAAGTAGGTGATATTTAAAAAAGAAGTAGGTAACTTTTAAAGGAGATTAAAAAGCAAGTCTCCTTGCTGTAAAACAGCTATTTGGGTGCGGAGTATTGCTTAGAAAGGGAGCAGACGTGCATGGGCATGCACAGTTCCCCAGGGACAARGGCAAGATCCCTGGGATTTTGCCCCCAGCCATGCCGGGGAGACTGCCTGCAATTTTGCCCCAAAYGCAGCCTTTTCTCCCCAAATCCTGCATTTCAGCACCACCTCACCTTCCAAATTCCTCCCTTTGGGCGCTGGGAGCAGTTTAGCAGCAGGACGTTGTCCTGTCTGGAAATAGGAGCCTTCCCAAACGTGCCTTCGTCTGGGCCGCTTGACCTTGGGCAGGATCCCGAGGGTTTGGGAGCCATCCACRCCGGTCGGGAAGGATGCGGGACAAYGGGGAGCGGGAATGACCAGCACGGAGCAGCTTCCCGCAGCTGGGAACACTCCCGAGCCCGCCAGCCTCCTCCTTGGCAGCATTAGCTCCTGTTCCTTTGCTCAAAGACCCGCTGTCAGCCTCAATATCCTTTGGGAAAATATTAACATAATAATATATTAGCAAATAACGTGGGCAACACCCGCTTGCATCCAGCARGAAATTCCCGACTTAAGATATTAAGCTCTGAGCGTTTAGGAGACCTATTTAAACACAAAGGGAGTCACAGAGCCAGGCGCTGCAGTCGTCAGCTCTGCTCTGGCTCTCGCATCCTGCACGTGCTGCTTGAGCATCCGCAAAGCGGCTCCGTGCTGCACGTCCCCAGTGCCACCCAACACGCTTACCTGCATTTCCGAGCTGTCCCGGGCACGCTCTCGGCATCTCTTTACGTGATATATAACTTTATAGAGTGCAGCTGCCCACACACGTGCTGGGGAATGGATCCGTGTTAAAATCTAATCCATGGAAAACAAATATGTTATTTTAAAGCCAAGCCAGGCCCATGATGTGGAAGGCATTGCTGCACGGCTGTCCCCAAACGAGGCATGATCCAGGTGTATGCAACAGATCACGTACTGCGTGCTGGATAAATTAGTTTATTTTTGTGCATTAGTTTCTCATCCCGCGACTTTAAAATTTGTACATCTTTGGAAAAGGCACTGATTTAGAATGTATTAATTAAATGTGAAAATTTAATTAAAATTCTTCTTAGCTAGAAAGCTCCATTAATTAAACTTGAAGCAACAGCTTCCTCATACTAAACTTCAGGCTTTTGTGCTAGATGAGCAGGAAGCAGGTAAGTAAACACCAAGTGATCTCCCTCAGAGGCAGCTTTCAAGGATGCAAGTTTAAGTCCAATATCTGCGCTTTGAGAACCTACTTTTTTTGAAAAAAAGAGGCTTTGACGAGTTTGGTAAGCCAGCCCTGAGTGCCCAGAGAGCGCAGGTCTTGTCTAAGCCAGTGACAGGGCGCGGGGCAAAGCGGGATCTCCCACTCCACAGCCGTGGAAGGGAATGGCCGGGCGCAGCAGGAGGGACGGGACACGCAGCAGTGTTTGCGTGGCAGCCCCAGCAGCTTCCAGGGAACTGCAGCGACAGACTCCCTCGTCTGGCGGTAGCTTTATCTGCTCTTGGCTCTGAGCATCTCTAGGTGACTGAAGCAGATGGGCCACAGACCAGAAAATAAAAAGTTATTGGTTATTTTCCCCCTGATTTCCAGCGCCACTCGTTTCTGCTGGAAATCCTCCGCCGTCCTTCTCATACAGCAATTCAAAAATGGGCTGATCTCAATCTCTTGAGCTATGCACATTGTGTCAGGATGAGAAGAAACGTCCTGGATGGCCTGGAAATGCCTTGAGAGACCAGAGGAACAGGAGSGGACAGCACAAGGCAGCTGAGAGCTGCCTGGACAATGAACATGTCCCGTTTGCAGATGAGCAGCGAGACCCAGAGCCCAGGATGGGTCTGCTGGATGCAGTGATTTCTGACAGGGGGGACAGTAAGAGCCAATGCAAGAGCTGTATTTACTCCAATCTTATGGGATTATCCAGGCACAAGGTGGGAATTACCATGGCRAAGCTTGCAGGTAGCGAGCAGCAAGGCAGCGGATGCGACGGGAGCTTCTGGGTTGATAGGGAGGCACGAACGAAAGCGCGCRCAGCAGCTGCCACGGAAGCGGAGCCTTCCAGCCATCTGGAGTCCCACGCTCGGCCTGGGAAGGCAGCCCTGCGGTTTCCTGGTATGGAGGAGGGCATGGGGACTGCTCGCAGCAGCGCAGGGGCGGACACGGAGCTCGCAGTGCCCACGCTGCCTGCCCAGGGTGGCGTCCCGGGCGCCCCGCACTAACTGCATTAGGTTCTGCACAAGAAATGGTAATTAAGAGTGGTAATAGGCGTGAAAAAAACGCAGAAGGGGATGAAAACTCTGGCGTGGAAGAGTGAGACGGGCCTGCAGYGGCAGGGTGGTGTGTTTAGAGAAGCGCTGCGCCCGGGCGCGCCAAGTTTGCACAAGGAGAATTCCTCCGAGAGCCGCTGGAAACAGGGTCAAGAGTTACTGCCTGATGGAAACGGGCATTTCTGAGCCGCCACTTGGCCKGGCCCCGATCATGAGGCTTGAAACGTGACTTGGACCATATTTGGGCCCAGATCTACAGAAATGCAGAAAAATCTTAAAATGAGCAACTGCCCTCGAGCTTCTTGAGAACATCCCGCAGGCCAGCAGCGAGGCAACACCTACATAGACACTGTCCTCCCTGTGCTTTGCAACGTACCTCGCGAATGTCAGTGTCTGCACACGGAAGGGACGGGGTGTTCTCCTCCCTCGAGCCCAGCCTTCCTTTGGGAGCGCCGGAGGCAGCGCTTGTTTGCCCCCAGGGGCCATCCGGCTGCACCCAGTACTCACAAAATTAGGAAGAAAATAATAAAAAAAAAGGGCAAGCTGGTGCCCAAAGGTCCCACGGTGGAAATCAAATGTTAAAGCAACAAGTTGCATGCAAAGCAAACACGGCCAGTTTGGGCAGGGCGCCKGGGTTTGGGCTCCCTGAACCTGCCCTGCTGTCAGCGCGGGGTATTGGAAGGAGTGATGATCTGAGAGGGCAGGATGGGTGGAAGGAGCAGGGGAAAGGTGCAAACACTGCATTTCTGAGGTAAGGGCAGCCTTGGGGTTGTCTACGGAGCTTTTCCAGTCGAAATTGTCCTTGCTGAACACTTACCATTTACGGCAACAACTAGAAGAGAAGAGGAGAAGCTAAAACCCTGAGCGCTACCAATATAAACACTGGTCCTTTTGGAAGAGCAAGTGATGATATCATACATCCCGCCCTTCCTGTGTAAACAGGAGTGCCAACATGAGAAAACATGCATTGTAAACCATATATCCGGTTGGTTATGGCTTTTTTYGAGTAGCTCTGGAGATCAGTGAGGCCAGATGCACTTCTTAGGTTCAGACTCGGGCGGTTTCAGGCACTTTCCTAGCTTCTCACAGCCGGGGGGAGACCAATTCTGTTCAAAACAAGCAAGAGAGAGACAGAAAAGTGAAGCACAGCATTCACATGACAAACCTGCTAAGCCCTGCACCTGGAACTGCCCCCTTTTGATTCTCACAAAGAGGCTCTAATGTCCCGTTTGAAAAACAAAACTGCTTGCAGCTCTTCCCAGCTCTAAATCCTATCCGAAAGGCTTTAGGAGAGACTGCAGATCCTTGTGCAAGGGCGGATTCTGCCTTCTCCCGGGATGGAGGCAGCATTCCCCGCTGTGCACGCTGCCGTCCGCTGCGTCTGTGCTGCCCTTCCCCTCTCCCTCTTCATCACAGACCACGAAGTTTGGGAGAAACCTCTCCGTTTGCCTGGGATCCAGAGCGCAGCTGCAATTCTCAGCACGTTCATTCTCTAGCCCTCCCTCTCTCTGTGTCTACCCATCTACTGCAGATTCCTGCTGTCACCTATTAAAGGTCAATTCAGCTCTGACCTACTGCCTTTTACTTTATTTTCTTCCCCCTCTCTTCTCGACATTTGCATTTGCTTGGAATTGGGTTCCTTTGGGGCAGAAAGGCTCAACAAAATGCCGAGGCAGGTCTATATTCCATGCAGCCGACAACAGATGGCAGTGGCACTCCAGCTACCTCCGCAGGCAAGGGACAAGGCAGAGCGGGATTTGGGCGGAAGGCACCTCACTGCACACTGCGCGAAGGGCTTCGGACGATGCAGAAACAATTAATGCTCTTTTTTAAATCTGCTTCTCGTTTTCAAAATGCACCACCACTGCTGGAGATTTCAGATGCTCGACCATTCTGCGGAGGCAACACAGATCCAAAGAAACAAAGAAAATGTTCATTCTTTTGCAAAAATACTAGATGGTAGCTGCTTCAGCCTCCCGGTGCACGTCGGCTTTCCTGGCTCCGAGCTTTAAGCTCCGAGCTCCCTGTGTGCTGCAGGTCAAACACACGCAGGCCAGCCCTGCTCCACCGCACAAGACAACTTCTCCTCCACTTCCACAAGAGGAAAATGCAGCAAAACGGGCTACTCCGCAGGGGCTTCATCGACGCTGCTGGTAGGACACTTTGCAGACGTGCCAGCAAATGCATCCCCTGCTCAGAGGGCTGCAAGTTGCTGCTCTTCCATCACTCCCCAAACTGCAGGAGCAGCTACAAAATGATCCACCTGCTTTGCTCGCGGATAAGGGAGGGCAATTCTTCACTTCCGTTCCCAAAAGAATATTAAATGTCCAGATCAAATAAATGGGCAAGAGAATTTAGGAAATGTTCAGTGTAGCATTGCTAAGTGATGTTGATCCCTCGGCATTCTCCAAAGAGATTCAGGGCCCCGGCAACCCCAGCAATACTACCGCCCAGACAAGACTGGGTTATCCTCATGTCTGGTTTCAAGTGACAYGTGATAATTTGCTGCCTCTGTTGAATTTAGTTTTTTATATAGTTAGCCAGTTAGAAATTCACTTTGAATATAAAATCCATAATGTAAAAAAGCTTTCTTCTGGGACTTAAACACCTCTCCAGGGATAYGAATATAACCCAGCCCATTGTAAAGAGCTTTCTCTTTCTGAATAACCTGGCGAGACCTGGTTCAAGCACAGTCATTCACTGCCTCTGATTCTAGATCAGCAAACACGCTTGAACTTGGCCAAGCGCAGGACATGACCACAGGCAGAGCCCAGAGACTGGTGTGAGAAAAGCCAGAACTTCCTAATTGAGATAAGCAACAGGACATCCTCAGGGAAACATCTGACTCTTGCCCAAAGAGGGGGCTATGAAGCATGGGGCCTCCACACTTCTTCCATTAAACAGCCTAAAGACACAGGGTGCTGACAACACGGAGAGCAGAGGCTTTCCCAGCACCTAAACASACTGCACCAGGGGAGCTGTGGAATAAGAGGACATGGCCACACTTCAGGAACCAGTTTTGGAGAGAAGAAACATCTTTCCAGGCTCTGGCAGCGACCAGGCGCTGGGGAGAGTGCCTGAACCCATACGGTCCCAGAGGAGCACAGAACTGTTTCTTAAGGGAAAAGCTGAATAATGTAGGAAAACAACATAGAAACAATGGCCCTTCAAATCTTTTTCCTACTTAACATCCAAAAATAAGAAAGATGTGACAAAGCTAAGAAAGGTCTTTGCCTCCTCTCTGAGGAGAGACTATTCCACATTTTGCACTTCTCTGCCTGGTTGCAAATAGCTCCTAAGCAGCAGGTATTTGTCTTCTGCTTCAGAGGAGTATTTCAGCCTCAGGAAGACTTGGCTGTTGTTCTTTTGTGCCAGCCTTCACAGGCACATGCCTTTATATTCTAGATGCCTAGAGACAGAAACTCTTGTCATCCTGCATCTCACCCCCTCAAACCATGCTGTTTCTTGCCCACGTTCTATATAAAGCAAAGAATGTTTCAGAGGAAATCCAGACTGAAAAACAAGGCAGAACTGGAAAACAAGTACRGCTTGATCCAAGTCGTAAAAGTTTTGGAAAAGACAGGCTTGGGTGGATTTGGGGAGACCAAGTGTAGGACTGAGGGTATTCACACCCATCACTGAAGAGACACGAGCCGCTGTGCCAGTCCCACCACTCAAAATGCAGAGGGCTTTTTGAGATTTGCAGAGGGGGCTTAGAAAGGAGGAGAAGGACGCAGAGCTGCAGATAGGACGGTTATCTCCAAGGGAGGAAGTCGCAGGGTTTATCACAGTGTGTTGGTAGACTTTCCAGACCTAATTCGCCTCACTTTGTACTAGCCCTCCTGTGCTACTGCATTCCACAGATAACAAACAGCTGGCTCTTCAGCGCACGAGCCAGATAGCCCTTCAAAAGGCCTATCGTGCAGCTCTCCTCCAGCCCCTTCCAACATTAGGTGAGATTCTTAGCCTTTACAAATACATTTTAAGCCAAGGGTTCTCCTGTTTATTTACGTTTTAACTCCTTACCATGACGGCCTTGTCGCATACGTTAAGCTGTGGCTCTCCTGGCACCATGGTCACTTGGTGCTGCCGGACGACGTTAGATATTCGCTCCATAACTCCTTGATACTCAGCACTGGCAAAACTAGAAGGAGAAAAAAATTGCAGAGTTACTAGAGGGACTCCCAGAAGGTATCTGGCTTGACACACAGCATAGGTGTCCACAGCACTATGCCATTTCAGAGGGCAATAACGAAGGGAAAGCACCTGTAAACACGGGTAATTGCTGAGTGCCCTATGGATCCTATGGGAAGATAGCAGCCAGGCTGGCACCCCCAGCACAGGGGCACCCAGCAGACCCTCTCCGGGGGACTTCAGCTCCCAAAGCTGCTTGTCCCGCTGCTCCCAAGCGCCTCACTTCCCAGTTGGCTTGTGGCAYTTCCCAAGGAGGATCTAAATAGACCAGGATCTAAATGTTCTCGTCCTGAAGTCCSGCTGTGCTTTAAAGGACTGTCTAGGGAGGCTTCCTAGAATGCAGGACAAACACCTTGCCACAGGCATTAAGCAAATAAACAAGCTTGCTGAGGAGATCCTGCTAACGTGTGGCATTAGAGGTCAGCTAGCTCCCTCTGCTTCCAGCCTCTGCTCTTCCGAGCGCTTTCCAGCAACGCACATGGCATTTACGCAGCGGCATTTATTGTAGGGAAAGGAAGGTAACGACAATACTCGTTTTTTGAAGAGCTCCCTCCATCTCAGCATTCCAGATGATTTGATTTACAAGCGCTGGCTAATAAAGCWTCACCGTCACCAAGACGAACCAGTATTATGCAAACAGGAAGACGGAGAAGAAGAATAGAAGTGGCTTGTCCAAGACCAGAATACCTCCATTTCGCAACACCACCCCGTGGTTCTGCCCCATTTACATTCTTCCATTACAGCTTTATTGTTCCAAGCTGGGACCCATCTGCCATGCTCAAGCCCGCATGCAAAGTTTGCTAAACAACCAGATTTTTATCCAAAGTGTTACTCCAGGAGGTACTTGTTTAAGTGCTTCATGGTGTACTTCATTAATACTTGAAGTATTTTGAAAATGGAGGCTTATTACTCAATGATCTCATTTTGTTCATCACATCAAGAGTCACTTAAAAAACAAGAGAGTGGCAAATTGCTTCTGAAGATAAAAGAGAGACAATGCAGCTCGGTGCTGACCTCAGGCTCCCTCTGCTTACAGGCCAAGCTGGCCACCAGCCCCRCACTCCAGCTAATTTCCTTCTTTGAAAAACAATCCCATTTTGAAGCCCAGGAACGTGCCAACAGTTTCCAGTAAACCCTATAAATATCGCATCTCGGCAGGCGTCCAGAGAGAAGCTGATTGCGGGGATGGGCCTGAGCTCTGCTGATAGAGGACCGGATGGGAACGTGAAACGACAAGCTCCAGCAAAGTAATCTGCCGCTCTCACACCCAGCGAGCTGCATCCTGCAGGAGAGGCTTTCTCCAGGGCTGCCTGTCCAGCCCATCCTGAAGGATCGTGCTTGTGGTGCTCCCAAAGTTGCAGCTCTCTCCATACCTCCACTCTCCATGCACGCGCCTGCCTCCTTGCAAGGGCTGAAAATGCAGGGCCAGGCAGAAGTTTGCAAGCTGCCAGGGACGTGGATGACTCAGAGCCTTGATGAGGACACCAAAGGCAGCAATCTCTTGGCTCCATGGTTCAGGCAGCCTCGCACTGGCATAACGGCCTTTCGATTCAGCAGGATTTTATCTGGAAGCCCTCTGGTCACACTGCAAACRCGCAGGGCTGCCAGCGAGGCGGCACGCTTACAAAAATAAAAGGAGATTTTTAGATGAGGCTGGCGGGACTTCAAGCTAACCTATGTTGACATAGAGAGGACTGCTAGCACTGCACATGGAGGGAAAGGGCTGCAGAGGAAACACCCACCAGGAATATAGCTAAAAACACGGGAGAGGCACAGAGGGGTTTGCACCACACCGGRCATCTCGGCTGGATCCTCCTCCACCGAGACAAAATGAAACAAGGGAGTCGAAATGAGAACATTTTAAAGCCTAGATACTCCAGCGATGCAAACGGAGATAAAATGCAGGTTAGCAAACGTGTATTGCCGTGCTGCGGATTTCTAATGTACCTATTGTTCTGAGATTTGAAAGCGCCTTCCAAACTAATCACACTTGATTAAGGCCCTCATATTAAAGATTAATATGAATTAATACATATTTTAACCAATTGTTAAAGTCCAACAGATTTCAGTTATCTAATCATTTAATACCTGCTGCTGCTGCTGCTTTTGTAACCATCTAATGTGTTTATTTCTGTCACATATTTGTACCATCTCTCCAGCATTTAAGAACTTCTTTTGGAAGTGGACTCCTAAGATAAAACGCTGCCACAAACTAATTAAGCTCCACAGCATCTTTGCAAATATTTAAGTGCTTAAGAGAGAGCCCAATTTCATCCACTGAAATGGCTCCTCGTACTGTCTTCCAAATTAGCTATAATCTGGACAGACCAGTGGAAAACACAGCTGTGGTCTGGATGGAAGATAAACAGTATGTTGTCATGACTGCTGCTTTTTGCTCCAAATATGCCAGTCCTCTTGCAGTGAAAAAAAAAGAGAGAAAAAAAGCCCTTTTGGCTCTAATCTTAACTGCTGCACTTATCCACGGCATCATTGCTCATTAGCAACCTAAGGCACAGGACTGCTGCTGTAAAACCAAGCGGGCTGGAGTTGTTTCAGTCATCGCTGCACTTTGCTTCTCCCGCTCGGGTACTCCCTGCGTTTCCAGCCAGCTCAGCAGCGACAGGAAATCTTGGCCTAACCTCAGGTCCTGGTGTTCTGAACTGCTCTCCCCTGCAGCTTCTATGTTCTTAGGTTRTTTCAGCATTTAGCATAGGCCGAATGACTTCCCCAAAGCGTGATAGAAACAGCTTGGCACGTATAAAAGACTCGCACTTCTCGCCTAAGTACAAAGCTGRCTAAAGCTAAAGAACATACATAGATTATGCTCCAAGTCATACAGCTAACCTATAAACCCTGTCTCAGTAGGGCTTAACATGCTCTTAAGCAGGCTAAACCTGTTGACACTAGCTTAAAAAATATCCGATTGCAGCTGTCTTCCTCACGTTTAAGTACATGGCAATGGCGGGACCCCAAATGCTGCAAGGAATCACTCAACACCGTCGCCATCACAGACTGTCTTCAAAAGCCTCAATTAAACACCCAAATTATCTTCCTCATCTACACAGAGAGCAATTTTCCTGCGTAAGAGGGGACTGCAATGTCTGCAGGCTGCACAACGTGTACCAAGACCTGACATCCACGCAGCGTTTTGTAAATATAATATTTACTGACCGCATAGACCAGGTTAAGAATGCCTCCAGTCTTAGCATTTTGAGGCAAAATCTGCAACACAAGAGTGCCTTTAATCTGTATGCAAGATGAGGATAATTAGTTCACAGTAAACAGTCTGAGTTGTTAATGGCTCTGGGAACCTCTCTTATTTTAAAATAAGGAATCCCATCATTTTCTTGAGTGGGAATGCCTGATTTGAGCTGCAAGGGCGGGATGTGCTATAGTCTCTATTACAAAAAAAAAAAAAAAAAAAAAGAAAAAAAAAAAGAAAAAAGGTCATGTTATCTATACAGGTGTTTAGGCATTATTGTGTGAATGAAGATCCAGGCTCGGCGCCTCCAGGGCACGCTGCATTTCGTATTCTGGTTCAGCAGTCCTGCCCAAGCAGAGCTGGGAATAGCGGGGCAAGGAGGAGCGAGCGAGAGCAAGGGTGAGCAGGTGGTGTTGTGAGGAGCTTGCTAAAAGGGATCCCCCAGCGTAGAGGAAATTATTCCACGCTCAGCCCCAACGAGCGGAGTGGACAAAGTCCAGGGTCATTACGCTAATTGACACTTTACCTCCGGGAAGCCCCTGGAGAGCCAATCAGGGCTGGATTGCAAGCGCCAGGTCCCAGGCACAGGTGTGGCCTGCGCTTAGTTCATTTAGCGTAATTGTGCCTTGGCAATCTGTTCTCATCTCCTCCCTCTCCAAAGAGCTCCCGGCGTAACCTGCTCTGCTATTAACCCCACCGTGGCCTGCACTGCAAGGAAGGTTTGGAAGAAGGAGGGTTCATCTAACGGGGCTGCCTTCAATACTAGAGCATCCTTTTCATCTTGCAGTCGCCAGGCTTTCACCTCCAGGTCCGAAACACTCCGAGCTGGAAGGAAGAGAGGGTAATTCTTTATCATAACAAATACTGCATCAAAGACACCAGGACCTGAGGAAATTAAAAAGCATTTTCAGCATTTTTTTTTTAAATCTAGGTCTTGATGTATTCATTTATACCTCTCCCTGATGATTCATATATAGGCACAGCACAGTATCTCTCTCCTAAGAGCAACAGGATTGTGACATTATCGAGAGAAATGTAACCAAATGGTTATTATATAGTGTGCTTCGTGCAAATCTGACAGCAGGCTCTTAACAGCAGCTTTCAGATTTATGGCGTGTTTTACCAGGCTCACATGAAGCCAGGGAAAGAACATAAACTTGGCTAATGATTTGTATCTTCAACTTCCTTCTCCACTGGAATTAATTTAATTAAAACACATTATTTTAAATTGTGAAATACTTACACCCAGATTCAGATAATTTRATTTTATCTGTTATCAGAGCTTTGAGGCTGCTCAGCACTGTAGTATCCAGTCTTGATCTAGTCCTATTATTCAGTCTTTCTCTGCTCCTATTTTCTATTATCAACTTTACCTGCAATTTAAAGTCTACACAATACATGATGCAAACAAAAGGTTTAGAGCTCCACTTCTGAAATACGGCAATCTGTTATTCCTGGAAAGGCTCCTGGGAAAATAAGAAAGGAATCAAAGGGAAGAACGCAGGGCGGCCCATACTAAACCTCACCTCTCTAGTCCAGCRGGCCTGGAATGTAAATGCTCCAGTGGAGCATTTGGTGCATGGAACATTTGGCCATTTACTCTCTCTGGCTTGGGCTATTCCTGAGGTCCCTCACCTTTGTGGGGTCTCCAAGAGCACCTACAGCCCTCCTTCCAGCAACAACCTTGATCTTCTCTACCCGGTCACCTATTCTCATGGATGTTGTAATGCCCCAGCTTTGGGACTCTCACCTGCCACTCAAATTTTATTCCAACATACCAAGGGCTCCAAAAGGAACCAGGTGTGTAGCACAGTGGCTACATAACACCTCAGTGTCTGCACACGCAGGCTGCAAGAAATAACATCCATCCTCCTGGTTCTCTAGCTACTGTTTTCAGCGGCATCAGAAGTTGCCTAACGGCTGCTCACACTGCTCTTAGGCTATGGTGGTGGCCCGGACCTGTCAGGTAGGAGCTGTCATCAGTTTCAAGCTCATGTTTTGGAAATCCTTTCATGTTTTTTTCTTTTTTTTTCCCCACTCATTATACAGCATCATTCCCGTCTAGACACTTACTCAGCAAAACGCCTGCAGGCTGTTGCTCTGTCATGTTTAAACACAAGTTAACAAGCTAACGGTGCAGAGGACTTGCCCCAACGCCAAGGCCTGATCCTGGAGCGGGCACGTGATGCCCAGCTCCTCATTTAGACCGTTTTACCTCCTGTCCTAGTCCCTAGGTGAGCAACCATCCTTTAGAGCTCCTCATTGACAAGCCATGTGTGGGACAGCCTGGCACATGTCCTGCCACTCTTCTGTGCCCCATCCCTGCTTGGCTTGCTGGACAGCAGCCTCCTCCCGGCATCATGTGGCTTTTTCTGCAAGATTTTGCCCAGTTCTCAAGTTTTCCTCAATAGCAGCTCTCCGGTAGCACCAGCTAATTCTGCCCTGCAGGGCAACCGCTGCCATATCCCCAGGTTTGAAGATGAGGAGTCAGCATCTGCCCTGGGCAAGACTCTTTGTTATACACAGTTTTTTTTCCAGTTTTGCACCTTCTTTCTTTTCTCAGCAGAGAAGTTTCTGACCTGATGGGTAAGGTAAGGCCGACAACATTTCTGTCAGATCCTTTGCCCTTTAGCTTCCCTTCAGGAGCTTCTTCTCTTTTCTCTTGATTCCATAACTAATGCAATTACTTCTCCAGTGATTTCCAAGATTTTCCATCTGCTCAAAATAGGCACTTGTGCACTCTCTTGTTAATTAATGTGCTCTAAAATCATGTTCCCCAACTAAGTTTTATCACTTCCATTTTTTTTTCCCATGTAAGAGTTGACTCTATTGCCTTAAGTCCGACACTGCTATTTCGACGCTCAAAATTTACTAACCTCAGTTTCGAACAGGGGTTAATCCCTCAAAGCAGAAGTCACGGCTAGGCTGGAGTGCAGACAAAGCATCAGCACGTTGTACTTACTTGTGATCAGGCTTTGCACCTTCAGCTTAACCTGGCAGAACTGAAGAGGCTCCTACCATGCATCCTTTCTGCCTCTTTGGAGCCTGACTCAAAACACTCTTTCTGCTGACGTTTATATTGGGCATTTTGTTAAGTGTATTTGAAGTTGTCCCAACTTTTCCTTTACATTATTACTCGTGTTCTTCCTAACCATTAGGAGTCATTTTGGTAAAACTGTAATTTCCGATTCAGGCGACAAAACTGAACTATTTTCAGCAACTGGTTGTGAAGATGTTACTAACAGATAATTTTACTGAATTTGACAAATTCRTCTTCATGGAGAAGCAAGTTCCCTATGTGGTACTCAGGGGAAACACAACACTCAGAGTGTAACAGAACTTAATAAAGATAAAGATTTATCAGATCCTTTAGTTCTGCTTCTGATATATTTGGTAACAAAGTCAGTCCACAGCTCAAGTGTCTTGAAATGAAGCAGAGAACCCCTAGTAATTGTATCTAGGGAGAAAACAAAATACTGCTTCTATTTAGAGAAATGCTTCTGCTTTTGTGTGGTGCTTAGCAAACTATCTTATTTATATTTAAAATTTGAGAGCCATTGAGGGCTATTCTGCAGCCTACGCAGATCTAGCCAATGCCCTGGATGACAAAGGACACAAAAGAATTACTTCTTCCTACACAGGGATTAAATAACAAGGTTACTCTCACTTATATAAAAACAGAGTTACCATTTTTGGCAACCTAAAGAAAGATTATTTACTGGTAACTGCACTTGACACTTTGAAATATATTTGCCATGCACACCTTTGTACTGCTGAGTTTCTTATCACAAGCACCTAACCAGATGCCAGGTTTGTCTTACCAGTTCCTGTAAGCACGTTCATGTCCTCCCTCATCCAAACAAGGATTCCTAACACACATTTGGCATGGGCCAAATTCTTAGCACACATGGCTAAGAATTCCAGCCATCAAAGTGCAAAGCCAGCGAGGCTGTTGGATTGCCAGGCAAATCCCCAAGCAGCAGAGAAATATCTGCACTCACCTTCCAAGGCAACGGTGGGAACGGCGGCCGTGTCCCTTGGTGGAAGCTGGGAGTTAGGGCTTTAAATTTTCAAACTTAAATGAAATAAAGGGAAATGTACTGAGAAGCCTGGAGTGCAATGTGGTTTTTTTTTTCTGAAGCCTTTAGCAACGTAMAAATGCTCCAGAGGGGCCAAGCTGGTGAAAGAGCCACCCGCTGCTCCTCTGGGGCTGTGTGAGGACGGGCAGAGGACGTGGCCGACACACACAAGCATTGGGCTGGAGCACGAGGGACACGAACACAGACGGACGCGCTCGGAGGAGAGAGCTGGGTTCCCTTCCGAGGGACATTAGCGCAGGGACTCCCAACAGGCTCCCTGCCAAGGGGAGATAATTAAGCTGCATAAAAACACACAACAGTAACAGCCCCACAAATGAGGATAATTTAATTACCACATTGGATATGGGAGACCCACTTCCCGTGAGTTTTCCATTGCGACCAGAGAAGAGACGATAGCGACGCATCGTGCTGCTGAAGCTGAATTTTCAGCTCATTTGCTGAAAAGGGGCTTTCTTGTGGGGTCTGCATATTAAACATCATCACAGCTTTCCATAATCGTGTCATAATCTTTCCGTAAAATTCAATCCAGGCAACAGCTTGTGAGTGTCCAAAAAATCAATGAAAATATATGAGAAATGATTGCAGAGGGACCGCTGGAATTCATTTCAATACTCAAGCCATGGTGGCTGTAAGGAATGTCTAAATAACAGGGAAGCAGGTGTCCTGCAAGTATCTCTTGTAAAAGGTCTCCTCTTCCTCAAATTCAGAGGAAATACAGTGTGCAAAYTGCATTTAACAATAACAAACTGTTTGATTTTTGGAGAGAGGTCATTTCCACCCCCTCATCTTTCTAAAATAAAATAGCTGTTAAACTGGACAGGACAGAGCCTCATCTGGAATCCCAGTTTAGCAGYGTAGCTTCAGTGAGTTGAATTTAAAATACAGGAGTGGCAGATTTGCTTTATTCATTAGTGCAAAAATGCAATGTAAGAGGAGAGCTAATGTGTCAGGCTTCCAAAGAGCTTTATACACTGCCTAACATACCTCTCTGATGCTCATCTGTTAAGGGCGAGAGTAGGGAAAATATTTTTCCTCCCTTTCTCTCTCTAGTGCAAACACTTAGTGGACACTACATGCTCAGTTCTTTTGAAAGTAATGGAGTGACTGTAGCCACTCAATTATTTAAAAGAGTTGAGTAATTGCAGGCCTGTCAGCTCAGAAAACATCTCTCCTCTGTTAATGCCACTGCACAAAACCATTTCTGTGCAGGTGGTCACAGAAGTGCTAGTTTCCCTTTTATTTACTGTCACATTCTGTGAGTCAGAGTCACCAGCGAGGGAGGAGGCTGCAGGTCCCCACCTGTATCTAGTTCTGCCAAGGAACAAAACACAGGCAGGAGAAGCAAATGGGGAGGAGTAAGGGGGACACCCTGGGAGCCCTTTTGGAGGTGTTAAGTTAATATGTGGATTGTGCTGCCTGATGACTATGTAAATCCTTGCAGAAATCTCCCAGGGCACGGTGTGTGCTGGAGATAAAGACGACAATAGCAGACTTACAGGCAAATGGATTCAGACAGCGGGACGGTCCAAGGAGGGAAGGGTTTGAGCACACAGTCCTCTTGCTAAAGACTCTCTGCAGAAGCTCCTTTAGTGGGTGCTAGGGAACTGGGAAGGTGCCACCTCTGCCTCCTGCAGATTCCAGTGTAGCACAGAGGAAAAAATGCTTTTTAAAGCTATTTACTGGCTTTGTAAATAAGTATCACTGCGGCATCAGCAGAGGTGTGGCGATGAACAGACGCAATGAAATGCAAATCTTGTAAATGCTACTTCATTGCACTGCCCCTAATCGCCCCAAACAGCCTATCTTGTCCCTACACAGCAACAGTTGAAAGCCATAAAAAAAGGCAATTAGGAAAGTGAAATCAGGAGAGCAACAACATCTGCTGGCAAAGAATGATAAAAATCGGTTTGATCAAGCCTGGAGGTTGAAGCCAGACACAGGCGTGCAGCTCCTCTACCCTGCTGCCTGTCTCCTCGGGCCCTTTGGAAGCAGAAACACTGACAGTGATGAGAGTTTTCACCTCCTCATTATCCACGGACTCACCTTAATGGATACTTTTCTCCAGGGTCTCTTCCCAAGTGGAAAAGCAGCGGCAGAGTGGTGTGCTCCTCCTTGGTGTGTGTTGTCACTCCAGAGACATTCTGTCCAGGACAGAAATCAATGCCCTGCATTAGAGAGGAGGAAATGAGTCAACAAGAGTGAAAAAAGGCAGAGAATTCTGGCCRACACCACTTCCCTCAGCATCTTGTTGTTAACCAAAGCAGGTTAACTTTCYCCCACGCTGCCAAATACACACAAAATACGGTTAGGCTAAAACTGGGGAGTTTGCTCTAGATTCCAGAATGTTTTCTGATCCAATGGGGTAAAATAAGGGGGCAATGTTGCTATTGCACGAGCAAAGAAGATGAAGCAGGCCTYACAATTTTGCCTCATAAAAAAGTAATCTCTATAAAATATTCATTAAAAAATGAAAAGCCAAACAAAAGAAAGAGGTGAAAGCATTTAATCATAGGAATTCTGCCTGTGCAATGTTTATTTGCTAGYTTCCACAGCTCAGAAAGACATGGTGAGGTTCTGATCACTTGGCAACTTGGATGTAAGAGCAGCAGTCACTGGGAATCACCCAGCAAAACAGAAGGATATAATCCTGGGCACTCACGAGCCTCTCCTGAAATTGCACGCGCAGCATCTGACAGCAGACATATCGACCTATTTCACTGAAGGAGGACACAAATAGGGTTAATATTGACAAGAAAAGGGTGCATTTATTGGTCTGACTTGCAGGCTCCTCGGAAGTGGCTGTTGGGGCACTCACTGCTGATGAAGCTGGGCTGGAAGAACTACGAGTGGCACCAAATTTCAAGGGCTAATTTCACTAAAGCAGGGGGTCCCACGGGCTAGCGAGGCCTGGCACCTAATGGACTTGTTAAACCTCGGGTTTGCAATTCCAGCTAACACGCCGTGCCGCTCACAATACCCCAAGCGAGGCATAGAGAGCAGGTAAATATTCCTGTAAACAGGAATGTTTAAATGGAGRTGGGAAAGCAGCTGCAGCATTCGCGTATAAAACAAACAAACTGAAAAGCTCTCTGCAGATGTTGGTCAGATTTGATTGGCAAACAATTTTCTAAAAATATCCTGTGTTTTTAATGGACAGCTGGTCAGTGGAGCAGTTAATATGCTGCTTTTCAATAAAGCAAGAAGGTTACAAGCCCATGAAATCCCATTTATCTGCACGGAGCTATAGATTCCCGAATCACTGACTGGAAAAATAAGAGAGTTGCTTGATAGGTTGTAGTGGCCTCCCAATAATGGACTTTAAATGGATACAAAAATGATTGACCTCTCCACCTTCTGATGCCACAGACCTCCGAAACATTGAGTGAAAAATAGATTTCTTTTTTTTTCTCAAAAGGAACAGCTAATGAAAAGGTATCAAAGCTGACAKAACATCCAAATTATAATTTGGATGCAAATCAAACAAGCTATTTAATTAAGAGCTTGCTAATTGGTACAATACTCTTCTGCTGTGAACGCTTCAGTTCGAAAGAAGGTTTCCGTCTCTTGGGCATTTGTTCATACGTTCCTCTGTTTACAATTTATCTTTTGCTTTTTTTTTTTGTAAAATCCTTGTAGCAGCAACTCCACAACAGTCTGGGTTACATCGCAGAGGCTCCTATGAAAGTGCTGTGACAGCCCTGCCCGATGCCACCAGCCAAAAGGTATCTGTCTTTCTAATCTGGTGAGAGCCCTCTTCAGAAATAGTCTATTGGGGAGGGGAAATCAAGCATACTATTTTATTAAATTAATGACACTTCTAAAATGTGGCTCAATCCACCCTGGAAATTTCTAAGGTTTTTCAACTTTATATCCACAAATAAAGCTATTACTATTTTGACRCATTATGTGGCCTTTGATATTCAATCTGCGGGGACAGTTTAACATATTTTCTACTTCATCATCTACAAATGAGCAAAACACACAGGTTAAGATCACATCCTCGCATCTGTAATTAAGGCGATTTCCGGCATAATAATAATTAAAATATGGTAGAAACAACTAGAGGATTCTCTTGGATAAAAATCTAATGGGTGAAGAGGGAACCCAAGTAAAAGCCAATGAAAGGAATATGAATAAATAAGTAAGGYGACAGATACAGAAGAAATAAGTAAGGTGACAGATACAGAACTAAGGACAGTCCCTCTCATGTAGGGAGCAAAATGTTTTTATCCACTTCCTAAAATTACAGGGAGTTAAAGGGAATGAAGAAGCAAGAGTGAGCGAACCTGCTGGGGAGCCTGGCAGCACATGGACAAGGACTGAAGCACCTGAAGCTCTTGGAAAAGCAGATAGTCCATGAGGTTAACCAGAGCAGGGCTTCCAAAACTCCCAGCCATCAGCAGAGATTTCCTYGTGGCACCAACACATGGCAAGAGATGTGTGGAAGAACCTCAGTGTGGCCAAGAGAGGCTGAGATGCAACCTCAGAGCTCTCCAGGAGCAGGGCCCACGTCCCATGCAGCGCATTCTCACCATTCCACGATGCAGCCATTAATTAACCACCTCTAATTAAAATGTGTGCGTGTGTCTCTTCCTGATTGAAAATTGATGGGTGTGATGACAGTGATCGATGCTGCTCAGTTTGACTCAGCAAACCAGTTCACATTTCATAGAAAAGAGAATTTAACTTCCCCCCAAGCTCTGTCTCGTTCTGGTTTGCAACTCAAAGCCATTTGCAGATCTCATGAGGGAAAATAGAAAAAACAGCTATCCTAATAAATCAAAACTCAAGGATCCTCTAAGTCTGGATTGCTTTGCTTTTCTGGAGCAGAACTACTACAAAACACAATCTGCTGGAGATTTGAGAAGCACTTAAAGACGAGACGATCCACACGCTGGAACATCTGGACAAGGGCTCTAGCTGCTTGCAAAGCCTGTAGATTTGGTCATGTGTGCTCCAGGACATGCCAAAAGCCCTTAGATAGATGTCTTTGACAGCAGAGAAGAAATTGCCCTCTGGCAAGAAGAGYGGAAAGAAGCTGAAGCACCAGCAAACTGGTAAAGGAGGATGGGCTCCTTCCAGCTACCTCCACTGGTGCAGGCCACCAGATGGGAATTTTGGGTTATTTCCTGCTCCTCCATAAATATTTTCTTTTAGAAGCCCCATCAAGCCAATAATAAATAGCAACATGCCAAATTCTCAGCTGACTTGCACTGACCAGGAGCTCTCGGCCAGCGGGCACTTCCAGCAGGAGCTCAGGGCAGTGTCTTGGCCCCAAAACCAAAGCCACCTTGTGTGGACAATGAGCGGAGAGGCAGCTACACCTTACCCACCAGGATAACACAAACCAAATCCAGCACCACTTCACCCACTATTATTCAYTTACGACTATTTCATTACAGTTACAACGTGCAGAAGATCAATAGCCAGTTAAAAACCCGGCCCGAAGATTTTGCTCCGTGCACTATCAAAGATCGCATGAATGTCCACGGGTGACGGCAACCCAACAAAGTGGAAAGGTCACTGCCTCCGTTGGGCTAAATTCCTGGATTTTTTTCTCCTCAATTGCAAAAGCATGAAAGATAATGAGAAGATGCTACCTAGAGCATAAGCCAGCTCTGTGCCTCCAAAGAGCGACAGTCAAAGACTATGAGCTGGCAAACAGAAATATCTCAGCTCATTCCCCAAGTTCCTTACACAGCGATAGCGTAAGCAGTGCACAGACCTGCTTGCTGCAAGAGAAATTCCAGCAATTCTTTAAAAATCACCCCCAAATTTCCTGCACATCAGGTAATCCTTGCAGGGAGTGCATCTGTCCACCCTTGTCCCCAGCAATTTTGCAACCTGCATCGTTGACTTTCCCTTTGCCAGGCCTCGTGGCCATGGCTCGCACAGCTTATGCTTTAATTTCCAGAGCAAACAGACCACAGATGCTATGTCAATATAGACATGAGACAAATACAGCCGGTTGCCAGTGCGGGCTCTTGGCCAAGCAATGGGAACGCCGCTCGTGCTAACGTGAGCCCTTTGGCAATTCGTCCCACTGGCGCTGGCCCAGATTAGTTGGACTTGACAGGCCACTGTGGATTCTGATAGTGGGGCAGCAAATCCTGGCTCCGTGTCCTGCTCACGTTGCCTCATTCCAGCACATTAAACCCAGAGTGACAACAAAAGTGCATTAATATTGGACAGCAGGAGAGGGGGAAATCACACCAGCTAATTAAAGGCAGGAACGCTGCTCCTTGCCATTTGCCATGGCACTGGTAAGTGGGAATGCTCTCTCGCCTGGAAATTCCCAGCAAAATCCTTCCAAACTGGAGCTGGGCAGGACGAGCCCGTCGAAAGCAGGACCGCAGGTTTCAATCCTGTGGAGCAAAAATTGCTTCTAATGTGTTAACTGTGTGGAAGAGCCCCCGAAGCCGGGCACGTCGCGGCGCCTCCGCCGGCTCTCCGGCATCAGCGATCAATGGCCAGCGCATCTGCTCAGAGGGACCACAATCAAATGTCATTATTGGTGAGGTTCTACTTGACTTCACCTCCCCCTCGCAGAGCAGCCTTTATCGATCCCCCGGCGCTGCCGAGAAGGGCAATCAGAGCAGGCTGCGCGTGGCATTTCACACGAGAACCCGGGGGGCTGCTCCCAACGCGCGCAACGCGGCTAGAGGCGCCGGAGCCTCCACGAAAAGTCACGGAGGACTCCTAACGAGATGAGAAGGCGGCAGCAGAAAGGTTGATGTTATCAGCCATTTCCCAGCAAACCAAAGGGCTTTTCCACACTTCAAATTAATTTTCTTTTTCCTTCTTTTTCCTTCCGAGAACTACTCTCTGCTGCGGCGGGCAGAAGGCACATCTCCTTTCTCCTGCTGGCCCATGCTCCTTCCTCTACCCACTATTTAATCAGGTAATTTCTACAGGTCTCAGGTAAATCCACAGGGAATACTCACATTTTCCCCTTTCAGGTCTCTTCTTCAAAATAAGGAAGGTTCCTTTGAGCAGCTGGACAAAAGAACTCACAACAGCACAAACTCCGGGTGTTCATATTTTAGGAATGGAAAGGTTGCCTACAGTGGAACCACTTCTCTAAGCTAGTGACTAGGGGACCTCGTTCTCCTGAGTCACCCAGGCTCAATCTTAAAACTGCTAAAATTGGCAGAATATTTATATATACGCACACAAATGTACATATACACACACACACACACACACACTTTATTACTTAACTAACTAACACTGTATTCAGGCAAACAGCTTTCCAGATTAGAGGCTCAAGTTGCACACGTTATTTCTAGTCAATCCTGTAAGGCCTGCTAGTCCTAAATGGACAYGCACGTGGTCATATAACAATTTTACACTTTCCAACTCAACATGGAAATGTGATTCTGGCCGCTATAATCATATAGTCACACTTAAAAATATAAAAAATCACTAAGTAYGGATTAAAAACAGGGCAAGATTTTGCATTTCCCACACTGTCAATTGATATGGGAACTCTGAAAGTGAAAGGAGGCTTGGCTAAAATGCGCAACAGATCTGTAAAAATAATGAGATACTCAATTATCCATAACAAACCTCCTTAAAAAAATAATCTCATACAGCTCATTTGATGCATCTGGCCACATTCAAATCTCTTTCAAGCGGATGACATCCCAAGCTGATACACCTGCTTATCCCAGGCCTGAGTTTAGACTCAGATTCACATTTAAAAATCTCCTAAAACTCTACATGGGGCTCAGATGAGGAGGTAACAGACCCTATGGCAACGCAAGGCCTTATTAGCTTAAGTTCTGCTGGGATGGTAAATTAAACATCAAATGTGCCAATGGTCAGAATTTCTAATGCCACACACGTGCATGCATTTTAATCTGTTTTCAAAAGAAATCAGCAAACAAATTGGCCCCTTTGATTCTGGCGCAGTAATTCTAGTCCAATATTGATAGCGCTGAGAACCCCAGTGACTGAAAAAGGCAACTGTACCATAAGGTGAGATCACAAAACTCCTAAAACAAGACTCAGAACTGTAGGACTGTTCTGTATCCTGATTTATTTCTATTTTTAAACTTGCAGGGCTTGTAATTAATGGCTTGAGGACATAGGAAGAATTGGAACAAATTTCAGACCCGGCTTCCTCTGCATGTTGTTAATGGCTAGTCTGTCCTCTAACGTGGTCCAATTTTACCCACATCAACCACATGTGATAGAAGCTGCAGGAAAGCAAGTGAATTTTTAATCATCTCTCTGGTGTACAGTATAATTGCTGACTTTTATCGGACAGTAGTTAAATAAAGACTTAGAAAGAAGGAAAAATCCTTTAATTGCACCACTGCTACTGCTTGCAATAGGATGGTCTTTGAAACAACTAACTGGTCCTTATTATCATAGCTACACACACACTCAGACATGTACAAACATGCTTAGATCAATGCAGACATTTATTTATTTTCAAATGAGGCATGTGTGTGTATGTGCAGAGCAATTATTTACGTGTGACATGACCTTCCACACGCATGGAAAAAGCATGTTTGAGCCCAGCCATGTATCTCTACACACACACACACACAAGCTCCTCGTGCCTCTTGCACAGGGAAAATCCTCCACGCTGTGCCACGCATGATATATGGGCTTTATGCACACGCTAACCTAGACAAATATATTATCTCATTTTAGCTGAGGAATATTATGTTGACACATAGGGCGCATTGCATGTTTGAGCCAACTTTCCTTTCCTTATGACTCTGTAAAAGGGAAACTTTGAGTCCTGGAGCCTTACAGACTTACAAACATGCATTTAGAGCCCTGAATGTAAATGGCTCCCTCGGAGCTGACGTTTCCTTCCACCCCAAGACATCCCCACAAAGGAAGCCACGCGCTTTTGCATCCACAAATGTCAGCAGCGCTTATCTCTGCACCTGTGATGCCTTGAGGACCTAGCATAAGGTTAAAAAATATATATATTAAAAAAAAAAACAAAGAAAAAACAAGCAATCTCTCCCCAACACCATCCTGCTGTCAAAATTGCTGAGAGCTGTGCTGCAATACATTTATTTCATGCCTAAAYGTATAATCAGCGCGGCACATGTGTGAACCTGCCATTCAAGAAATGGCTCAGAGTTTAGTACTCAAGTTTGAAGCAAGAAGGATACAAAAGAGGAAAAAATGACAGTGCTTAACTTCTAATTGTGAGAGGATAAGCCAGGAAATTACAAAAGCAGGGCCTATTTGGCAAATAAAACGTAAAATATCTGAGAGCGATGTGGGCTTGCAAAAGTGCTGGTAATAGATTAAACATATGTACTCTACCATTTTCCACAAGAGCTGTTTTTTCCACTGCACTGCCCCTACCGCTTTCCTTTTCCCCTCCAGGAAGAAAAAAATAAGTCACCTTATTCCACTTAAATAGCCAACGGACCAGGGTTTTTTATACTATAGACTGGGAGACACACGATCAGTTYGGTACTCCAAAGCCAGTATGGGAAACACAGGAATGCCCGTAATTCTCCAGGGAAAGGAGCTTAATATTTATGGCTGAGAATGCCGTTAAAAGGGAGCACCACTCAGAACGGCTTGGAAAGAGTTTGCTCGTTTTCTTTCTTTTCTCTTTAAAGGATTATTTATAGGAAAGCGGCTGGGAGAGCGAGGGAAAGCAGGGAGCAGGTCCAGTGCTGTACCTTGCTGTACTCCTCCCAGGAGTTGCTCCAGGTCCAGTAGTGAGCCTTGTAAAGCCCGACTCTTACTGCCATCATCTCGTTGCCCCGGTAGTAGAAGATGGGCCTGAAAAGGATGCAAAAGAGAGCAGAGCCACGTGAGAAAACGAGTGTATGAGGCCGCGCAGCCTGGCTGATAAGGGAGCCAAACGCCTTCACGGCGTCCAACTTCTGACGCAGCTATCAGGCAGAAACAGGCTGCCTCCTAATAGTCTCCGCTGCAAGGTTTTCAATTAACGTTTTCTAAAGTGTTCATCAAGTTGAGAGCTGGCGCTGCGCGAGGATGACACGTTCTGCAGCTCGGCTGCCAGCGGTTGTTAATCCTCCAACTATGGGGCCCTGTTATTTCCTACGGAGCGGGCGGATTTAAACAGCAAGGGGCTCAGGAGCGGCTGTGGGTGCAAGCGAGCGGGGAGACCCAGGATTCACCAAATCCATGACTCTCCGTCTCCCCATCAGTCCATGACTCTCCGTCTCCCCATCTGTCCTGGGAGGAGGCAGAGGCTGCAGCCTCCTCTGAGCACCAGCACAAAAAAAGCCTACAAAAAAAAAAACCTAGCAGCCAAAAGTGCTTTATTTTTAAATCCAATCAACTTCCCTATAGCCCTTACATCATCTGCAGATATAACTGAAAACTGCTATTTCTTTTCTGGTAAGTTTTCTCCATCAATGATATGTTTGAAAAATGTACTCCATACAGAGCAGCTGGTGGGTWGCACTCTTGCCCCAGGCATCCCAACAACTGTCCTGTTTGCTTTCCCTGATAATGTGCTCTCATTCCTTGAGGAAGCGGTGCTAAATTTCATGGACTATCTGCAGGAGAGAGGATTGATCCGGTGGCCGAGCTCATCACACAAGAATATGAGACTTAGTCAGCTCTTTCCAGTTGTTTCTGGTTGCTGGCAGGATGAGATAGAAAAGTTGTTTATCACTATTTGCATGGATATATACATTTGTCTTCAATTCAAAGATGCCACGAGGCAGGAACTGCTTGCTCCTCTGATGCCACCTTGAATAACAGTCCCTAAATATACAACAGGATTAAAATCACCATGAATGACAAGCGTGGCCCAAGATCTCTTCTGTTTTGAGCAAAATGCTAGCTTCTTTTCCAGGCTCCTTGCATAACAATCCTGGTGTCCCTCTGTCCTTAGGAAATGCTCTGGAGCAAAGGGGAAAAGGCTGCTTCCAGCAGGACTCAATCCTGCATCTAACACACGTGAAATGCTTGTGCAATCAAGGCAGCCTGAGCAATCTGCCAAAACACAGAACCTGATTTAAACTGCTCACATTAACAAAATTAAAAGCCTGAACAAGCGTGCCACAGCTGGGCGCACACCAGTCTGCTTTATTCCTTGCCATAAACACTCACTATTTGACAAGGTATTGCGTGCTCTCTAGAATGAAGGCATGGGGGTTAAGTTTTTGCCTTTTATAAAAAAATTAAAGCATATTCTACCTTTTACTGGGAATTACAGCTTATACTCAAAATTTTGCTATTAGTGGTTTCCATTTTCACCTTTCTCTTTTTCATTCTAAGTAAGAAAGCACTGTTATTGTAGCAGAAATAGCTGTTATAACACATTAGCGATTACAATGCAATTCTCTTTTATAACAGCAAAATCTCTTGAAACTTTTGGAAGTAAAGATGGGGACGGGCTGTGTTGGAGCAGCCTGCAAGGCCTCATGTCAGCCCCTGTCTGCCTCTCAGGAAATCAGGCAATACCATTTGTGTGCCTCCTTCTTGCTTTACTGGACACACAAGCAATTYTACTGAACAAAGGTTCAAGTCTGCCACACAAATAATTATGTTTTGCATGTGTTTGTTTCCATGCTATCTCAAAGATAAAGAATATCCCGTACTATGATTTCAAAGGTTGCCAAATTTTTCACCGAAATCACAACTAAAATCACCTCTCRATCTCCAAACATTCAAGTGAGAGAGCCAAAGAGGTTCATGGTCAAATTTCAGTGCCTGTACCCAGGAGCTTGCAGCATTGCTCCATGCCCATCAATATTCCGGATCTTTACTCCAAATCTATCCTTACAAAACCACCCAGAGAAGTAGGACTTTGCAGAGAAGTGAGCTTCCAGTTCATTCTCAGTGGCCCAGCCTTTGCCTCCAGCCTCCCTTGCAGAGTGACTGCAAAACCTGTAACTCTTCTGCAAAGAGCCAGCAGCCTCTTGGATGTTTCTCTAGTAATAAATTATGCATCTTCCCCTGCGCAGGCTGCAGTTCACAGGCTTTTATCTCCCCTGTTGCCATATGCTGCTCCAGGGATCCCTGCTAACCCCTGACATTTGCATCTGTCCACAAAATCCACKGTACAGCAATATGTTGTGTGCCAGGAAATCCAGGCTCAGCCAGCTCCGAGAGGGCGGCTGCTCCCACCATAAAGCTCTGGTGCTGCCCCACTTCACCTAGCAGGTGAACAAATGCATTAGCTCAGTTTATAAAATACACGAGTAAATTTAATTTAAAGAAATAAGCCCAAGTTTGGAATCATGTCAGCTTGGAGGGGAGCTCTGGGTTCATAACTAACCTGTCAATTAGCTGTCCCTGCAAGATGGCAGGTAAAAGGTCGATGCCGTCAATCTGTCTGTCACTTGGAGGCTGCAGCCCCGCCAGGGAGAGGCTGGTCGTGAAGAGATCCATCACGTTGCCCAGCTGATGGCTCACCTGAAAAACCAACAGAGAAGCCCTTGCAAAGGGACCTTCAGCTAAAGCCAAGGCGGAGGCGGCTGGTTTGCACTGCGGCAGGAGCACTGCTTGCTTTATCTCCTTCTCTGCTAAGGATCTTTAGGGAAAATCTCCCTTTTTGRTGCAGCAATCATCAGCAAATGCTATATATATATAATGTGTATATATACACATAAAAGAAAAAAGAAAAAAAAAGGGAAAAAAAGACAGACTGAAAAAAAAAAAAAGAAGAAAGAACAGAGAGTGGAAAGGAGAAATCCAGACCCAAATTTCTTCCATTCCCCTATTGTTTTCTAGGGAGCATTTGCATTTTGGTTCATTTTTCTCTCTCTCTTCTCACCTCTTTTTATGTATGCATTTATAGGAGTATCTCTCTTTCACCAGTTCAATTTCCTTTTGCAAATTGTGAGTCGTTTGTGGTTTGGAAAAACAGCACTTAGAACAAGCAAAAAGTCCTTGATTCCCTCACCAGGTCGTCTCTGGAGTCCAGAATACCCTCAGAGAATTCCCAGAAAGCACAGGAATAGATGGATAATAACAAAAAGGGCCTGATGACTTCATCAGCAAACCATTTCCAACAATTCAAGAACTGTAAAGTTGTGGTATTTTTAGTATGTATTTTAATAAGGGAGAAAAACATCTGGCTTTGGCTCCAAAGGAGATSTGCAAGTTCTTTTACTTTAATTGGAAGCCATAGTTATCTCTCTGGTCTTAATTATTTATATTTAAAAAAAAAAAATCTGTTCAGAGTGATTTTTTTTGCTTCCATCATTCATGTGCTACTGTTATCTGCTGTAGAAGGTTTAATTAGCCAGTAACACACTGAAGTGAAGGGGATATCTTCAAATCGAGAGCAGGAGCTGGCGTGGTTTGCGCTGAAATGCCCCAGCACAAGATGGGACAGGAAAAGAGCCTTTTCAGCCCTTCCACCCGTTCTAAGAAGCCATCTGATAGAAAAGCACATCTGTAAAGTCCAGAAAAACATTTTGACTGAAACCCAGACTCTGCCAGCAGACTTTGCTAATGTCAGTGTGAACATGATGATGCTGGGACTATCAAAGACTTTTTATCTTTGAATCTCCCAGCTAGTCACAAACAGAGCTCCAGCTTGTGAGCTGATGCTAATTACTTAAGCGTGATTACAAATGATAACATGAGAAATGAATCTTTGCAACATGTTGGTTCGCTTGCTGTACAGGAAAATTAAGGAGGGAAATGCACTTTTTTGGCTGGGATACTAGGCCTTTTCATTAAGAGGTTGGGCTGGAAAAAGTGAATACTTAACGGAAGAATTAAGTAAAAGGGAAAAAAAAAAAGGAAAAAGCAACATGCAGGGAACTGATTACGAGTTTAACATTAAAACACCACGTCACTTGATTACAGCAATTTTGATTTTTAACGGCTGTCATTCATCAGCGGGTGTTGGCAGGAGCAGGTGATGTTAAAAGCAGGCTCCAAGAACGCTTCCTCAGCTCCCGTGGAGAAGTCAAGGCGTGAAGCTCCAGGCAAAGAAGGGAAAGCCTGGCCACGGAAACCCTTGCTGGGGAAAGCAGCTGCATCAGCTGCCCAAGAGCAAGGCGTCTCCAAGGTGGGGAGAACCCGGCGTGCCAAACGYTGACCCTTGGGAAGAGCCAGAGCTGGCTGCATCCGCGGGCAGCACTGTGTGACCAACCATGGAGCTAACACAGACTCCTTTCTGCTCTTGGCCATGCATTTGCAAAAAAACCCAACCCAACCCAACCCAAAACAAGGTTTTCTCACCCAAACGAGCCCTCGCTTCCCTCCTTACAGCCCCGGATGGCTCCGGGAGCCATGGGAATGCCTGGTGCTCCCAAAGCCGAGGGGACTCAGCACCGCAGCAAACATGTCCAGCCCCTCGGCATTTACGAGGCGAATCCAAAAGTGGCTTTTCCCGCTGTCAATCCCTTCCCTCGCCTCCATCTTTTGATAACGGGCAGCAAGTGGCAATCACTGACCCGAGACTCGGGCTTCTAATATCACCTAATTTACACATCGCGTTGCGACAAGCCGATGGGGCCACCATGGTCTTCTTGCACTGGCCCTTATTAACCATAACCAGATGTAGATGACTCTCTTTAATCATCCAATTACACTTGTGGTCTCCGACAACATTCTTCCATGAAGCAGAGAAAACTTCTTAAGGAAATTAAATGCCCATGCCACAGCCACTTGGATTTATCTGTGCTCTGCAGCACCACATTGAAGAAGGAAGGGGGGGAAAGGTTAATATTTATATAAAACTTTGAAGTATTTTCAGAGAAAAATAAAAAAATTACCATTTTCTCCTGTCAACAGCGCTCTTTCATTCTAGTTGCCTTTCCCATTTATTTGTAATTTTTTTTTAAGAAAAGAAAAAGAAAAATCCAGAGAGGGCAACAGCCCAGAGAAAATAAATAATATATAAAAAAGAGTGAGATCAGATATTGCTCGTATCAGTGAGAAACAGCCGGTATTACGCACGTAGGAACGGATTTTTCCCCCCTCCTTCCCCCCCTTCTTTTTAATAAACTCTCAGTATACACATAACGTCTTTAAGAAAATGAAATCCTTTTGCTGTGGGCCACGTCGCTGGAAGAAATAGTCACCAGCGCCGTTATCAGCGCTTTCAAGCTTTAACTCTGAATCAAAGGCGACAATTAATAAAGTCGCCCCCGCCAGGAATGGAAAGGAGGAAAGCTAAATATTTGAAACTGGGTGAACAAATGTCAGGGTGTTTTTAAATAAAATCCTTTTACAGTTATCACAGCAAGCAGACCTGATATCCCTGTCTAATTCAATTTCAATTTGCGCCCCATGGGAGATAGTGAAGAAAAGGTTGCAGTGCTGTCTTTGGGTTGATATGTTCTTTTCTCCTTCAGGAAGCAGGCACGAGAGAGCAAGGGGAGGAGGATGAGGGAAGAGGAGAGGGATTCAAATACCAGCAGAATACGCTTTTTTTTTTTTCCTTTTTTTTTCTTCTTTTTTTTTTCTTTTTCCAGCTGGATCCTTCCAGAAGGCAGATGTGATGTGGGGAATGCTGAACTGCTGATTTGTTATGAATTCACCTGGAAGACATCGCTGAGCGGGGAACTGCAGAAAGGCTGTTTGTGTGTGAATAAATATACCTGCTGAGGGACCAGAATTCACTGAATGTTGATGCCAAGAGCAACAGAGACTCCTGAGGACCCCCCCTGCCACACACACACAAACCTATAAATTAGCTCACTGCACCAAATAATCTAATCTCTATCAATATCCTCCGCAACAGTGCTCGCAATCCTGCCACCTAATTAAGTAAAAAGGCGTTCTTAAAAAAATTAAACGTACTCTTTAATCAAAACAAAGCCTACATATCAATGAGATTATTAATAAACTGCTAGACCCCATGATGAGGATGGGGATGAGCCTTCCAGSCGATACCTGGTTTTCCCTGGCCACAAGGCTGAGGCTGTAGGAACAAGCTCCGTTTTCCCAGTCGGAGCGGTGCCAAGTGACCTGAAATGGTCACTAGACCTCCAGCCCCTGCAAAAAACATGGAGCTTCCCATGGGCACGATCCCGTTGCTCCCTTAACTGCTTCACTCGGAAGGGTCAGGCTTAGTTCCAACTGTTTAAACAGAGGATYGTTGCTATGTCACCTGAAGTGAAACGTTAGGGAACAGAGCTACTTCCCACTCCTTCTCTATCCATTCCTATCATGATGGAAATAAAAGTTGCTGTGCTTGGAGCTGCACACACAGGGGGAGGAGTCTGTCCTGTGCTCAGCACTCCTGGGCAGCTCTTTGTTCCCASCCTGGTTTAGGGCTCCTAAGCCTTTATTTTCTTCAATTCTTTTGAACAGAAAGAGCAAAAAGAGACTTGAATGCAGTTTCCCCATGTTTTACAGTTAGTCAGACTGAGCAAGACCTAGGGTGGTTTCAAGTCATAATAAAGATGATGTTGAGCCTACAGACTTGAGCATACCAAAAAAAAGCCAAAAACATACCAGAAGATATATTGCTTTTCACTTACTATATAGAAGCAGTTAGGAAGCGATAACTATAGGCACCCTGCATGCCAGTGCAACATGAGCTGCAGCACACAAAAGCGACGCCAAACCTCTCACCTGCACTCAGTGCTGCTCTGGGTATCAATGCTGGAGCCTCGACGGCAAAAAYACAAGCAGAAAAGACATGTAAGTAGCTATGACATATCTACGTAGCAGTAGCATCATACGTGGGTCCAACTCAGGGCACCTTGGGGACAGAGCTCAGAACAGCACTCCAAAGACACCTAATTGGAATCCAGGGGGATATYTGGGAGCAAAGCACCCCTGGGAGGCACGTCGCCTACCCCTGCAGATATTTAGCAGATATTTAGCAGGCAGCATCACAAATTGGAGCCCAGGAGAGGAAGGACTTAAAATTAAGCACATGYTTAAATGCAGAGGGTGTTAACAGCGCTGCAGTGGGGATCCTCAGCCTGCCCCCTAAAACCTCAGGCTCGCACTACAGCTTGCACGCACCCATTTGTGACACTAAGGGCACCACGCTCACGTTTGCCAACCTGTTAACTTTGCACAGAAGTGGCTGTTCATAGAAATTCAAGGGTGGCCTGAAGCAGGAAGCCGTGCACCATGTCAGGCCAAGAACACTGCTCACCACGTAAAACTTCCTCTGCTACACTACAYGCAAGGCACTATCTGTGAGCATGGYACCAGCAAGCCAGAGTTGAGGAAAATAAGCAAGCACACAGATTTCCCTACTCATGTTCCTAATTATCCCTAAAGTTACTACAATGGAAAGAATTCTTAAATTTGGTATTTACTTGCCCCCATTTATAATGCATGTTTACTTTTAGCACATTATTCAGTTTGGACACGGAAAACAAAACAGTCAGCTTCAGTTTCATGTTCTCATATGTTAGCCCAAGGCTGTTGTACTTGGCTTGTAAAGGCTTTATGGAAATGTTTAAATTTAAACAAAAAGACTGTTTTCATTTCCAATTAAAAAAATCATAAAATATTTCTAGTAGGTTTTGTGAACTCTTCAAACATGATGAAACCAAGCTACCCTTGCTGCCCTCAGCTGCAGACCTAAGCTATCTGATGGCATCCTCCTAAATTTTCATTATCCTGACTCAACTAAACCACTGAAAAGGAATGCAACTTAGAAAAAGAAATATTTATGGATATTTTGYAGTCTTAAACATAGTGCCCAGTTAATGAAACATCACTCTCTTCAAGGATAAGAAACGCTCACAAAAGGGAGGGAATCTGTATTATTTACTGTGAATCCTGCCTGCAGAAAAAATTGATTGCATCTTTCTTTAATGAGAACTGGGACAAGGGAGGCGAATATTGCCACCTGAGGACTATTTTGAAGTGATCACATATGAATTTGTGTACAGGATAGAAAGGATCTAGACCTTCCCAGAYGGACCTGTTACCTGGTGGGTAATGTGCTCCTCTTCTAGACCAGGTCACACACACAATAGCAGCATGTCTCTGTATTTCAAGTAACCCACTAAAAATACTACAGCCCAAAAGCTTAAACAGACACCTTAAATGCAAATTTGCAATAACAATCAGGAATGGCATCCTTCTCTAAGGGCAGCATTCAGCTCCTTATTTAGAGAGAGCTCTGGCCTGACAAGTGGGACATGATAGAAATCTGAAATCCACTGAATCCAACCAGAATCATTCCAGCCACTTCAGTCTGCTTAAGACTGACCAGAAATCGTTAAAAGCAAATACTCACCCTTCCTGCAGGTATATGTCCAGGCCACCACGCAATAGCTGGTTCTCTCATGCCTCCTTCAAAAGTAGTTTGTTTACCACACAGAAAGCGACCATTGCTTCCACCTASAGAAAGATGAGAAGCCACAGAACCTGTGATAACACCAACAAAATACTGCAAGAGACACTGGCATCAAGGAATTTTTAGATTAATTTTAATTTAATTTTGATTTCTGCCTGAATCCTTCTTCCAATAACAACTCCAGAATTATTTAAGTATTTCTTTATGATTAAATTTGAGAAGTGTCTTCAGCACAGCGAGAAACTGTTAAACACAACTTCCTGCTAACAGAATAAAGGGAGGRAAAAAAAAAAAAAAAACAGAAGACTGATGGTGTTGCTTTCTCTTTAGGGTTTTAACTGTTGTTTGTAACTAAAGGAATTCCGATGCTTTCAGACAGAATTTCCTTTTTTTTTTTTTTTTTTAATAGCTAATTTAAAATACAAGAACAGTATTAGGTGCAGATATGCAAACAAGAAAAATAACCATACCATCTCTGAATGTTCACTCTCAGAAATAACAAGTGATTTGCAGGAATATGCTGCGCTTCTAACCAAGTCTCACAGCTGAGCTTACTGAGAAACAAACAGGAAGGTCCCATCACTGATTCCAGGTCACTCAAAGGCAAACATTTGCTCAGCTGAAGCCTGAAGGCTGAACTGGGAGGCTCAGCTGAAATGAGAACTCCAAATACTCTCGGATTTGTGGTCCAATAACCACTAGACAGTCTGCCTCCAAACAGAAAAGAGCTGGCTATAAAATCAATTTGCAATGACTCCATTTGGGAGAAACACTCATTTAAACAAAATAAAACCTGCGTCATGCAAATATGCAAATACTTTTTCTCCTTGATATTTTTCAGGATAGCTAACAAAAGTGGGACTCTTGAACCCTTCTTAATTAGTCAGCAAGCTCAAATACACATTGAGCAGATGGAGAGAGCAAAAGCTCTCCATTGCTAAGTCTCTATGCTTGGACCTAAACAAATGAAAAATATTCACCTATTTACAGCAGAGCACCAAGTGGAAATGCAAGGAGATGAACAGCCATACTGGGTTAGGCCAAAGGTCTATTTAGCAAAGGATACCTTATCCAACAGTGAGATGACTTTAAAGCTGAATGATTTGAATTTTGAGGCTTCTCTATGCTGCAGAGGGGACAAAGGGAAAACCCTAGATGTAGGTCTCGCTTTTCAGACATGGAGACTGACACGTTGACTTCGTGGCCCCAGCCCAGGTTTGTTCATATGCGACTCACCTTGTTTGGGAGCTGAAATGAGAGCAGCCCCGTTATCGGAGGTGAAGAACACAAACGTGTTCTCACTGATACCCAGCTTCTGAAGATGCTTCAGGATTTTCCCAATGCTATCATCAATTTCTCGTACAGCATCGCCGTATCTGAGACGGAAGGAGACGCAAAACATTAAGGCAGCAGAAGCGGAAGAGCTTCATACAGCTCAATGCACTGCAATGAGCCACAATGCTTTTAGTGGACACAACCTCTACCTGTGCTTCAAAAATATTTCTCTTATGCATCAGTAATATAATAAAGTTTTCCAGTGTCACTGCAAAAACTCATGTTTCTTGCAGAAAGCAGCTTCTCTTGGATATTAAGAACCAGAGTTTGTTCAGATCCAAGCCACTTGTGGACAGAGACGAGTAACTGAGATAAATTTAAACTACAATGTTTTCAAATATAGACAAAGCCACTTCATCATAGGCTCGAAGCTAACAACATCATTTTGCTTATAGATGTCAGTTTGAAACTGCAGCCTCAGAAGCAAGGCTCACAAAATCCACACAGCTACTCTTTGCCGCCTGTAAACTGCATTTTTCATGCATGCTTTTCTGTTTGCTGCTCTGATTTATATGCTTTTAAAACAGGCACTAATCATCCAAATGCCTTCCAAAGATCATCTGTGCCACATTCAGCACTTCATCACTCACACAACTGGCAAACGAGCTTAGACTCCACCTCCAGAACACGTTTTAGTCACATGAGCTTCATYTCAGGTTACAGCAAAAGAACAATCCAAGCAAAGTTTTCACTAATTAATATATGGTCATGTATTTCAGCACACACAAAAAACTTCTGAGAAGTGATCCACATAGCTGGATCTAATAAACCAGCTTTGTTTTCCTGTTTCTACAGCATGAGGTATTAATTACCAGAAAAGAAGAAAAATAAAAGAAAAATAAAAGACTTACAGTCCTCTCTGACTAGTACCCAGGAAATGTTTGGAGGCATAAACAGGAGCGTGGGTAGCATCAATTGCCCAGTATAAAAAGAATGGCTGCTGGCTGGCCTGCTGCCTGCTAATAAAATCGAGAGCTTCCTGTAAACAACAATAAAAATGAATTTAACAGAATCCTCCTCTGCCATCTAAGTCTCCCCATGAAAAGGAGCAAAAAGTCACTGTGGGTTAAAAAAATACGTATTAAACAAGACAGTACCTGCAGGTAGATCTGAGTCAAGTTGGCTTCACCTGTCTTCAGATCAATATTGAAATCTTCATAATATCTTAAGATAAACAAACAAGTCGCTGTTACCATTCAGCCAAAGGTCAGAACTGTAACTTACATAACCAACCAATTCTCTATAGACACTAATAATTTTATTCTTAAGGAAGAAAGCAATGAAATGAGCAGACCCAAATTAATGAGGGGTTTAAGATTTGGACAAACCTGAGCCACCAGTTTTTTACTGGGAACAGATCAGCATGCAAAACTGACTGAATATTGATACCAGTGCAGGCAACAGTCTGAAAACTGGATTTAATCACATGCTGTTCGAATAGGGGCAGTATCATCATATGAAAAATCATACGATGCTAATTTTTGAATACAGAGCTGTTTGATACGTGAGAAAAGTTTTCAGAAACGCATAAATGATTTCAGTGAGATAAGGCAAATTTGGAATCAGAAGCTGCGCTGCTGTGAAAATCCTTGGAAAGCTGAGGCATCTTGAGACACCAATTAGGCAAAGAGCAGAGTGGGAGAATAACAGGAGATGATAACAGGCTCGGAACTGCATGGGCGAGAATGGTACAGGCTGCAAGCCTGCAGTCTAGAATGGTGTTATGCAAACAGACAAGATTATTACGCACAGGAAGAGAAGGGGTAGAGAGGTCTTTGAGCAGGGAATGAAACCAGCCTCCAGGAGAAGACTGAAATCAGCACAGGAGGTCTGTAGGGCACAAGTGAGCAAGCAAATGTCTCCAGGAGCTAGTCCAGAGCAGACACAATCCCTCCATGGTCTGCAGGCCATCAAAAGCAACTGGCAGGCAAGCAAGGAAATTACCTGCCAACCATCTCCCAGTCCCTATACACAGGAATATTAGGGGCTGCTTTGTTATCATAAGGTCCAAAATGGCAGTTAGGGGATCCAAACCACTCATCAAACCCGTGCTTCAGGGGGTGGAACTGGGGCCTGTGACCCAGATGCCTAGGAACAAAAGACATAGATAAGTTCAAGTTCTACTGCATAGAAGCAAATAATAATCTCATCAGAATGGCATGCAAGAGGCAAAATTTGCCTGGGAAGAAAACCTTCAAGCATTTTAATCAAATAAATAGCTGCAGACCAACATCTTGAGCCTTCTTATACTTGTTGTAAACAGATCCACGCAGACTCTCTTCCAGGCTTGCATATATATCTTGGTTAGCCTGCTGTCCAGGCTTAAGTTTTCCAGTATTTCCTTCTATCAGTGTCTTCTCTCGYGCTGCTGTTCTGATGGGCTACACTGCCCAAAGCTATGGCAGAGAGGCACATACCATTCCCCTTACAGATTCTGATCTATGGCAAGTCACTTCTACACTAACACACTGCAGAGCTCATGAAATGTACCACTATATTTGCATTCATTTTATGGATTTTCCATGCTGCCAAAATGGTACAAGGGGACCGAATGTTACTGAGTTCTTTACTTGTACATGTGAACATAGAATACATTTTAGGCACTCCCAATGAAAGCTCCTTTCTAATATAAATCTTAAAAAGATTTCTATTTTTAACTTCAAGAGGAAGTTCCTTTCTGATCTCCAACTTCTGGACTGCAAATTCTCCACTTCCTCATTTATACTATCCTGAAGAAAAAGAATGCCCATGCTCTCCCTGTCTCTACAGGACGTCTTTTAGCTAAATGTCTATTTATCATTCTAGGTTCAATTCACAAATCTACACCTATAACCCGCACACTTTGTGCCATCACCCTCTGAACGCTTTCTGAACATAAGGAACATAAAATACATTACCTGAACTAAAATGATCTGTGGTGTCATTTTGAGCTTTTCCAAAATGAATTATAACAGAAAATAATCATCATTCCAGCTACGATCAAATCTCAGTGATGTAACTAAAACTGCACATCTCATGTGCAGGAGTCTGCCCTTTCCTTATGTACATATATAGCAATATAAAGCTATTCCTTGCTGTTTCCACAATAATAAGGAACATGAAAAAATATTTTTCTTTAAGAAAGCACTAAGAGAACTYAAAAAGGGAAAGAGGAGACACAAATGAGCTGCAAATAATTGCTGAAATGCAGAAGGCAGATTGTTTTCTCTCTCTTGCAACAGAAAAATAGAATATTTAATAATATGTGACAAATTCTAAAACAGTCACAGAAAATACTTGGTTCACACAACAACTGTGAAACTGTGGAACTCACTGTCACAAGACACCAAGAAAAGTCTTTGAAAATAGACACTRAAAGGATGCAAAATCTTTTGCTGTAGAGGTTTTTTAGGCTTTACCACAACTTAAAATTCTAAGAGGGAGTGGGATGAGACTCCAATTGAACTGCTRCATTCTGCATTTTTCTTACACCTTTCCAGGAAGCAGGTGATCACAAATGCCAGAGACTCCTACTATGCAACACAGTTCCCCAGTCCTGTCCAGTACCCCAATTCTTGGGTGCCCAGTGATTGCACTGCACAATCATATTTAGACCGCTTCTTGCCTGCAACTGCGGGTTCTTCCAGATTTGCCATTTTCCAAATAACTGCCTGAAACCAATCTGTATTTGTGTTGTTTATTTCTTCTCCCAGGGTGTATGAATTTACATTTATTAGCGCTGAACTGCAACTTATTGCATTCAGCCCAYTGATCTGATTCTTCATGGCCACTCTGCTGTTTGGATTTGTGCTAATAAATAATTCACTGTCTTAGGTTAGTTTGCTTCTTTTCCAATTTCAGCAGCACTGGTATATTTGACCATAATTCAATCACACTTTTCTCCAACTTGTTAATGAAACTGTTAAATAAAATATATTTCATTATCTTATTAAAGAGTATCCCCCTTGGTACTACTACTGTCTGAAGTCTTTTTATTAACAATTACTCTCTTAACCAAGCAGTACTTTTCTCTATTTTGAAGTTGCTATTTATGCATTTATTTATTATAGCACTATCCCAAACTGTGAATTAGCTGTTCAGAGATCTCCAAACCTAGTGGGACTCCATTACAGCCCACAAGCTCGTATGAAATTTGAATGCTATAAGTACGCCAGTTTCAAGTATTGCCTTGCTAATTCCACCACTCCCATGAAAGTCAATAAAGTCAAAGAAAGTGATAGCCTTGACCAGAATATACTATCAGCTCTAAGTTTCTATGCTAGGTGAATGGTTATCGATGTAGCTCTGATATCAAACCGACTGTCTTCATGCGTCTGCATCTCTATTTCTATGTGAATACATCTCTATCCCCCAAAGTTTATTCAACTCAGTCGGCTGCATCAAAACAGCAATATATAGCAGGGGCCAAAGATAAAAAGCATGCAGGTGATGAAGGCAAGTTTCAACAGGACACCYTGGCATATTTTTTTTGATTAAGTAGCATGGTACACGGATGAAAGCCCAAACAGGTGAAGTGTTTATATATACACGAATTACAATATGTATATATAATGATAGCACTCAGTTGTGAAATTAATCACAACAAAGAAACAGATCTACAACAAATTTCATTCGATGGATATCTCAGCTTCAAGACATCCTTTCCTCCCAAATCCAGTTGYCCTCCTCCTTCACAATACATGCACTTGAAAACTGAATCTTGAAGCAAAARAAGTTTACCATTTTCCAATGATCTTATTGGTGTATCCTGCTTTCTTCAGCAACTCTGGAAGCAGTAATTCAGAATCGGGGATTCCTCCTACTATATTCTGTGGCGTGTATGCTGTGGAAAACAAAAATATACTTTTGGACTCTTACATATATCAAGGTCAATAGCTAATGGCCACTCGATTAGAAGGATTATTTAAGCAGATCAGAAATAGCAATTAGTTGGATGTTCCAAGAATATCACTGTTTAGAAATCTAATTCTCAGAGGCCAAAAGATGAAGAGAACAAGTTGATTCAGCAAATACATGCCTGAAGCCAAAAGAGATCTCCACCCACTTCCACACCATGGCCAACAAACAAAAGGGATTGCTGGCACAGCATGAAGGTGAAGCCCTTGAAAGGGAGGGAGGTCATAAAGAAAACAAGTGCCTTAAGAATGCAATAGAGTCACTTGGCTTTTATTCCTGCAAATTTTGCTTGATACTTTCTAAAACAAAAGCATTTGCTGAAATCAAATGGTTGATGAGCATGACTAGGCTGCAGGAGCTGAAAGAACCAGTCTCTCTCACACACTCAGCAGCTTTCTGGCCCTAAAGAATTTAAGRTGTGACTTTGGTTAGCAAGGAGATAGCCAAGCATGCTTGTGATAGATGGTGTGAATTAATATGGAGTTGCTGATTCTTGCCCAAGCATGTATGGTCTCACACACTGCCTGTCATTTTGAACTAAAATGAACACAGGGACATTATGACTTGACACTCTTCCTTGGAAGCACCATGAGCACAGAGGTACTACAAAACCACCCTGGCTAACCTAGTTAGGAAACTGGCTGATAGAAACACCTCAGGCTTAACCTGGGATGTTAAGGATATGCCCCAAGTGACTGACACCAGACATCAGCTAGCCCCACCAGAGGCACTGTATCCCAACCAACAGGCGCATAAAGGAAGACCATCAAGCCAAGCCTCTGTTTTGAAGCAAATCTTCCTACAAAACACAAGTAACGAAGGCAAATCTGCAATAAAGCTCCTACCGTTCCTGGCATGTGCGTTTGTGGTGTAAAAGCCATTCCTGATTGGGAGCCGGCCCGTCAACAGCGCTGCCCTGGCTGCAAATGACAACAAACAACATTTGACTTTACAAGCCCACTCCGTTTAATATTATGGCATTAAGGACAGCTCACTGACTCACTCACACGAGAACATGCACAACTCCCTAAGTGAGATAACCAGGCTCTGATATGACACCATCAGAGGCATTCCAAGTCAAACCTGACTGGAATTTAGCCTTTCTATTAAATTAGTTTATCCACAGCTGAAAAGTAACTACTTCCAACAGGAAATATAACATCCATTCTGTATCAGTGCTGACAAATTGAATACCTGGCATATACATTTAAGAGGAAATCATAACACGAATTGGTGACAGGCTATGGCTAGCTTGTCTGAGCAAAAGTCATGTAAGAGYGAACAAAAAGAAGCTGTCCATCCTCAATGATAAAAATCAGGGCCTGACTGCAGGAAGCATTTAGGCAGATGCTTAGCTTTAAACATATGCTGAAGTACCACTCGAGTTAGCAGGACTTTGGCATATTTCAAATTAATTTTCTGAGAAAGGATAATCATTAGCACAGGGATTTCCTAAATGAAAGATCAAAAAGAAAGTTTTTTWAAAAAAAATTTATTTGTGTGCTTGCAAAAAGAAAAGCACTAAGGATTAAAAAAAGCAAAAAAAATCTGTATTTCCCAGACGCAAGTGCTTCTTTTGTCCCTTCCCCAAGAACCAAGCTAGCCACCAAGGTCAACAGCAGGACACAACCTGCTGTCATTCCTTGCATGAGAGTCTCACCAACGCCAGCAGAATCAGACAACTTATTTATTTTTTGTTCAACAGCAATTCAGATACTGTTTTGTCTGTTAACCCCAAAACAATAAAAGAGAAAAAAAAAAAATCAGCAATGGAGGCTGCAATACTAAACTGGAATATTTTTTAAAAGGCCTTCAGCTGGACTGATTTGATGACTAAAGCACTGCTTTGTGTGAACTAAAGATTGCAGGCTTTCCCCTCAAAAAAATAAATAAAAGAAAGCAAAACAGAAGATCAAAGCACCAAATGCAAACTCTGCCCTGAGGGTAATAACTGGTTTGGTTGCTAGTTCATGTCAGATGCTGGCAAACATCCCAATCTTCTCAGAAGGTGGCATTCTTATATGCTAGTTTAAAACTAAAGTTTACTTACACGGAGAGCAGAGGGGGTTGGCAGTATAAAAATCCAGGAAAAGCATCCCTTCTGAAGCCATCTGGTCCAGGTTAGGAGTTTCCTTAGAAGGCTCTCCAAAAGCTCCCAAATCACCCCAACCCATCTGCAAAAAGAACACACCAAAAGATGTAGAAGTACTTTTACCTTTCAACAAATGACGATGCTTCTGGGCCCACATAACATTTTTATTTTATCCCTCCGCCTTTAAATCTTTATAGTGCTCATCTCTCTACTCAGGGAGTACTTCACGAATGTGATGGAAATTATCCTCCCAAATCCTGCGAGGCAGAGAACTATTCGACTTCTCCCTGGCAGATGGGAAACTGAGGCACACACGAGATTAAAYGACTTGCTAATGGACATGGAAAATTTGCAGCCTTGCTGGAAAAGAACCCAAACACTTTTTTTTTCCCCATTGCAGGGTATGAAGATGGACCCTTGTGCAGGTACCAGGGAGGCAGAGCAAGTGGCACGATGTGCTCAGTACTGTACAAACCACTTGGACCCTGGTTACGTCTGCTGTTGTGTTGGATCATTGACCCCAAGTCCTTCCCTCCATCCATCTACTCATCCATCTCTGGATATATAATTAGTAATACAAGAAAAAGGCCTAAATTCAAAAGTGGTGCAGCAGGAAAAGAGAGAAAGCATGTATTTTAAAAGCAGGATTTCGAGAAAAACCTACCTGAGGCATTGTATGTCACTGCTTAATTGCAGGACAATAATTTCACCCTGGCTCTTCCCCTAGTTTAGGGCAGGGAACAGCTCCTGACCAGGAGAGCCAGCAAATTGCCRCCGTGCTGTCTAAATTCATCGCTGAAAACTATTACTGGTAATAATACAAATAAAACTAGGTGTCTTAAAACAGAAGGTTCTAGAAGAGAACAACTTAATGAGCAATTAGGCACCACGGTTGCTAGAGATTATGTTGTGCTTTTCAAAAGGCAATAGCTCTCTTTAATACAGATGTGTATCAGGTGAGCAACGGATACGGAGGGCATAATGTATGTGCAGCTTTAGAAAACCATCTGTCTGGTCCCATTTGAGAGTCTAACATTAACACGGCAGTGGTGCAGTTTGGAGAAGAAAATTGTTGGCGAGCTGCAGAGCTGCTTGTTGAGTGAAGGAGCAATTAAATGGTATCACACACCACTAGGATGTGGAATTAAAAAAGGATTCAACAGGGTCACCTCTGAGTTCTCCCTTCTTCAGTATCTTTATCATCAAGAAAGAAAGGAAAAAAAGGATACGGTGCTGCTCCAATTCACACACAGTGAAGGAGTCACAGAAATTACAGAAGGATCAAAGGGAAAAAAAGACCGTGGAAATGTATTTTTAATGAATAGTATATAAATAAATAAATAGTTCACAGAGGCTGCAGTCGGGATCTGTGCCTCCTCATGCCTTGTGCTGCACCAACACTTCTAGAACAGGCTAATCACTGTCCCAAGGAGCTTTCATCTCAAAAATTACACATGCTGACTTGGGGGGGAATAGTCTTGAACGGGAAATTCAGATAGACTGCTGGAGGCTCAACTGGCCAGGAAAAAAATTACAAAAAAAAAAAACCCTAAAAACAGGCTTACAAAGTAATTATCTTGTACAAGAGTGTGGAAACACTGTGAAAACAACGGCCAGATAGTCAGGGGAATTGTGCTGTCAAAGGGAGCCAAGGAGCCGATAAGACCTCGCACACCCTTCCAGTCACACACCCACCCTCATTAGCTTTCCAAGTACCTTAAGATGGCACAAGATGCATTTCTATTACAAACCCACCCAAAAGACAACAAGAAAACGGCACAAATGAAGCCAGGCAGAAAGACGCCAYCAGCTTAAAGGCTGTGTTGGAACCACGTTTCCTTGCCTCTGTGGCTAATACCATGAGAGAGAGAGAGGAAAGGCRAAGGGCTTTGTGGGTGGGAAAAAATCTGTGATGATTTTTGCTCTTCCATGCATTTCTTTTTTTCAGTTCAGAATCAAAAGTTAATGCAGTTAATTCGCTTTTTGTCCAGTTCTCAGGGAGGCCGGCCTGGGTTTATCCATTGCTGCTATCAGAAGACATCGCCACAGATATTCCTTTGCAAGTGATAAAAGCAAGCCTTGAGTTTAGGGTAACTCTGTTGAGACTTGGAAAAGCAGAACATCCCTCTTCTCCCCAGTGCCAGCAAGAGGAACCCTTCACCCTTCACCAAGCAGAGTGGAACTAATTGCTCCATCGTGATGAACGCACCACAAGACGAGACGATTCCACCTCCAGACACGGCACGGGGCTGCCTGGCTGCCGACCGTGCGTGCCCTTGACTTTATAGACGTGGAAAGGAAGTGTCGGGAAGGGATCCTACCGGGATCCTCGGGAAGGGATCCCAGAAACTGTGACCCTGGGAAGGGATGGTGCTGCTCGGAGGGGCGAGGGGCAGCTGGGGGGAGCGCAAGGAGGCAACTGAACCTGCAAGGCGCTCTCCAAACCTCTCCTGCGGTGACAAGTGTCCCCTGCCCCATGGGACTCYCCTCTGTGACAGCTGTCCCCACAAAGGACACTTTTCTGGTGACAAACGTCCTCCTCTCCCCCAGGCAGTGCTCACCTCGGGACAATGTCCCCAGTCCCCGCACACAGAAGGGCCTCTCTGGTGACAAGGGGACAAGGGGTGTCCCCAGGCCCCCTAGACACCTCCCCGGTGACAAACACCCCCCACACACCAACTTACTGTTCTCGGTGACAAGCACAAGCCCTCAATGACAAGTGTCCCCTTCCCCAAGGGGTGCCAACAGGTGACAAGTGTCCCCCTGAGGACCCCCCCCACCACACCACGCGTTCCCTCGACGACCCCCGCCCGCCACGACAAGTCTCCCCTCCCCCACGAGGCCACTTCCCCGCCGGTGTCGCGCGGCGTTCCCCGCGCGGGGCGGCGCGGGCCGCGCACTCACGTCGTCCATGAGGAGCAGCAGCAGGTTGGGCCGCGCGGTGGCGGCGGCGGCGGCGGCGCCACCGGGGCCCGGGGCCCAGCACAGGCCCAGCGCCACCAGCGCCACCAGCGCCCTCGCCATGGCAACCGCCGCCGCGTCACGTGAGCGGGCGCCGCGTCACGTGGCGCCGCGCGCGCGGGGCGGGGCGAGGGGGCGGCGCCAAGATGGCGGTGTGCATCGCCGTGATCGCCAAGGAGGTGGCGCCGGGGCGGCGGGACCCGGGCGGGGTGTTGGGACGGGAGTTGAGGCCGTGGGACCTCAGTGGGGTGGTGGGGCTGGGCCTGGGAAGGTGGGGCCCGAATGRGGCGCTGGGGCCAGGATTGTGGGTTGCAGGTGTTAGGGAAGCGGGACGTGGCTCTGTGGGGCATGAGTGGGGCAGTGGGGCCGGGGTTGAGGCTGTGGGGCCGGAGTGGGGCAGCAGGGCCGCAGCTGAGGCCATGGGGGTGAAGTGGGGCAGTGGGGCCGGGGTTGAGGCTGTGGGGCCGGAGTGGGGCAGCGGGCTGGAGCCGAGGTTATGGGGCCCGAGCTGAGCAGTGGGGCCTGAACAGGGCAGTAGGGCCAGGATTGAGGCTGTGACACCTGAGCAGGTCAGTGGGGCTGGGGTTGAGGCTGTGGGGTCCCTCTTGAGCGTGTGGGGCCTGATTGGGGCAGCAGGGCCAGGACTGAGGTTGTGGGGCTGGAAGGGGACAGCAGAGCCRCGGCTGACCCTGTGTCACCAGAGCAGGGTGAGGGCAACAGAGCTGTGCTCCTCGGCAGAACTATCCCCTGTACATCCGAAGCGTCCCGACGGAAAACGAGCTGAAGTTCCACTACACCGTGCACACCTCCCTCGACGTGGTGGATGAGAAGATCTCGGCCATGGGCAAGGCTCTGGTGGATCAGAGGGAGCTCTACCTGGGGCTCCTCTACCCGACAGAGGACTACAAAGTGTATCCGTCCAGTGCCCGGCGGCATCTTCCCCTTCTCGTCTTCTCTTCTTTCTCTGCAGCCTCCAGTGCAGTTTTAAACTAAGGAATCAGAGGGCTGGGCTTTTACATAGACCAAGGCGCCCCTTTTAGCATGTTCCATCCCATGGGTGGAAGAGGTCTGCCTTAACAGACCTGATTTCYGCATTTTCATAGATTGGCTGTTCATTTCTGAAGTTACCGGTCACACTGGCTGGTATTAGATGGTCTGTGTCTCAGTGGTCACCCAGATAGGAATGACCAGCAGAAGGGACACTGAAAAAGTTCTTWTGAACAGATAAACTGCTACCAAAAGAGCTAGTGAGACGCTGCTTCTGAGATTACAAAGTGTGTATTACCAGTCAGTATGACAGCAAACTTAATTATTTTTCCTTTAAATTARGCCTGAATTAGCCCCAGCTGTGACCTTTGTGAGACAGCAAAAGTTAATAGAACTAAGGTAAAAAGGGGAGTGTTGTTCTTGCAATCTAGCATCTTGCTTCCTGTATTCCCAGTTATGTGCTGGGTACGGTATGAACACRGCCTTCCCTGGTTTCTTTGACTATATTCCAGACTTGTTTGAGTTGCTTTCCAAGCCTCTAGCGGGTCAGAAGCAAATTCCTTAACAGCTGTGTAGATATGGCTACGTGACAAATTCCAAGGTGAAGTTTGTTATGGTGGTGGATTCTTCAAACACAGCCCTCCGAGACAATGAGATCCGCAGCGTAAGTGCAGGAAATCAGAAGGCAACCAGTCACATCAGTACTTTTGCTACTTCCACTTATTCACAAAATGCCGAGAAAGCAGCAACAAAAAGTAATTAAACTAAAATCCCTTTTCAGATGTTCCGAAAGCTGCATAATTCATACACAGACATAATGTGCAACCCTTTTTATAACCCTGGGGACCGCATCCATTCCAGGTAAGTGCGCAGACCACAGCACACATTCTGAGTGTTGTTATCTTTTGGGGACTTGATTGGGGACTGATTGATTTGGGGACTAAGATTGTAACCCCCATGGTTGACCAGTGCAGCTGGGGGTGCTGAAACTCCTTAAAAGCAATGTTTTCTTTGGGCCATTACTGCATCATAGAAAACTCTGCTGTTCTCATTAAGGGCCACCCTGAAAATTCTCACCTCAGAACTGGATTTGGAAATACTGATTCCAGAGAGTAAGAGACAAAACCAGTTACCYATTTTACTGCAACATAGGTAAATAGGTCAGGTAATGGTAAGCAGCAGCAATTCTTCTTGTCCTTACGGAAGGACTGAATGGCCCCCCAAAATGCATTAATCTTTATATTTGAGACCAGCTGCATCCCCATTTCTCAGCTGGAATTCCAGAGCAAGTTTTTGTAATGTCTTGCCAGGCAAGAACAGCTTCTAAAATATGTGCTGCTTTCAACTTAAAATAACAAGTCCTTGTTTACTCRGCATCTTATAGGTAAAGTGAAACCACCTATTCAGCCCTGGAAAAAGCAGCTTTTTTGGCAATTGTAGGCATTTTTGGTATTACAACGAAGATCTGGTGTGCAGAATTTTGACTTCCTTTAACATTTTTTTTTTCTTTCTTCAGAGCTTTTGATAATACAGTGACCTCCATGATGATGCAGGTGTGCTAAGACTGCCCCTTCTCTTCTGAGGGTGAGAACATTCCCTGGGAGCCAGAGCATGCCTAAGAACTGATGTATATATTGTCTTTCTTCTGTGTAATATATTACATTGATTCTGTGTAAAATAAACTTGCCACTTGTGAGGTCCGCATGCATTTCTGCTTTAGCAGAGTAGAGCAAAATTCACTGTTCAGCTTTGGTTTTGCCTCCAGGCAACAGGTACAAGCCAGCTCTTCCTTCATAAAGGTCAGCCGTGTCAGACAGGAGGTTCATTCCCTACAGAAATGCACGCAGCTGTGCTCCCTATGCAACTCACATGCTTCCCTAGAAATTGGGCTTTGTATAACAGCAATTCCTGCTGTGCTTATGATTAGAACAAGGACAGCTGCACAAGAGATAGCTAAGAGATTACTGGGATCAACCTAGATTTCAGTCAGCTGAAAGGCACAGCTAGCAACAACTGTTCTTCCAACACTGGTGCAGCTCCAGTGTCCAAGGCACACACCAGCAACAAGTAGTCACATTGCTGCTTGCCAGCCCCTTAGCTGCTGCTCCACGCTGTTCATTCCAGCAGGAATGTTAGGAGCAGTACTTCCTTCAAGCATTTGGTCTCCCTGTTCCATTTCTCCCCTAGCCAGGACCACTCGGATGTGTGTACTTAGTCCAGTAGTTCTTGGAAAGAGGGAACAGTGCATAGGTCAGCCAAAGGATCCACATTTCTTCACAGCCAGCCCCTGTTCATGTACTTGGAGCTTTGGCAAGCAGAGCAAACAGTTGGTCTCCAAGGACTACCTTGAACATGACCAAGTCCCCCACTAATCTTGTCTCCTGGGCAGGACTTTTTGGGATGACTTGCACCTGACTGTTTCCTCTTATCACTTTTCACCTTACTCAGGTAGCCACTTGCACTTGCAGCAGTATTTCTAGGGCAGGTCAAGGAGCACAGGTAGTGCAGTTAGGATAAATCCATGCCAAGAGATTAAGATATCAGGATTGCACAGCTGCCTGACTCATCCCAGGCTGATCTCCATTGGCATCTCCTCCCACTGCAGCTCCCTGCTGTTTTAACTCAAGACCACCAAATCAGGTGTTTACACAATAAAAGGCAGGCAGAAGCAGATACAGTCACTTGTGCATTGCACTAATACTGYAGGAGCAGAGGCCACAGGTGCTGGCAGCTCCTCAGCACCTCTGATRCACCCTTCTTCCTGCTCCATGTGCTCTTCCCTGCCCACACTGCCTTACTCTTCGTCACCTGAGGTGCTTAGCACCCAAAAAAGCCAAATTTAAGCCGAAGCAGCTCCCCCAGAACAGTCACTGCATTTACTCTTTGAAATCCAGCACATGCTGCTTCCAGCACTGAGGCAGCAGTCTACAATACCAGCACCTAATCAGTTAAATGCACAAAAAAAAACCACTGAAAAACACAAAACTATGTATCCAAAGGATACAAGGAGGCTGCACAAAGCCAGGTCAGTGCTGTGTCAGCTCACAGCCAGTGTGGTCTCACTGCAGATGAAGTTCACACAGCAGGATCATTTATTTTAAAAATAAGTGACATTTACAATACCTTCTCAAACAGAACTTAAATACATTTACTCAACAACAACCTGTCAAATAATGGGAGATTAAAATATTTGAGCCTCTCCCACCATCTAAACAAGGCACAGCTGTACATGGCTATTCTGAAATATGTCTATATAAAAGTGCTCTTTTCACTTGCAGAGACTGGAGTTCAACATTTCCACAAGCCATTACAGAGTAGTCCATACACTCAAAATAGTTTTTGATAAAAAATTAAGCTTCAAGAATTTACAAAACCTATTAATGGGAAGTTTAAAGTCCTAGAAAAAGAAGATTTTACAGCCTGAGCCTAGAGGTAGCTTGGATCAAGAAAGCAAGGCCAGCTTTACCAGCATGGCCCATACTGCAGAAAGTGCAAAATCAAGAGTCAAGCACCAAGCTTTAGAAACCCCTGAGATACTAAGGAAAAAAAAAACAGCAGGAGTTACAGACTGGCAGAGTCCCTTGAGCTGTGAAAAGCTGCTTTACGAGTCCAAAGTTGCATCTGGGTTAGAGGAATCCTAGACCAGGATCCTGAAAGATTAGTGCAAGAATTACATAATAAAAATTTTAATGCAGAACTTAACACAGTAACACTGTTGGCTGGAATTCCCAACCCACCTCTTTTAACACAAATATTTTTTTCCTTTAAAAATGAGCAGTTGCCATGCTCATGAAGACGAGAGCAGCAGCAAGGGCAARTGCCCAGCAGCCCAAGTTCCCTACCAGCAGACTCCTTCCCTGTGCTTTATCCCAATCCACTAATCCAGCTGATCCCCGAACAGGGATCAGACCAGGAATGGTGACAGGAGCAAAGAGGGAGATCGGAGCTCAACTCACCACAGTGAAGGCTACTCCGAAATGCTGCTACCACCAGAAATGAAGCGAGACATGTTAGCTGTACCCCTTGTTYCCTCCCCTCTGCTTCCAAAGGAAAGGGGAGGAAAAAAGGGGTTGTTGACAACCAGGTCTTGGGCAACCCCAGCAGAAGCTTCCAGAGAAACAACCAGAAATGCTTTTCCCCTCCTTGGTGTAGGACAGCAGCAAGCTAAGAAAATAGACCCACAAAGGCCAAATCCTCAGGTAGGGCCCTTTGCTAAGGGAGGGGGAAATCAAACTGATGGTCTGCAAAAGCTCTTTTTGAGGATGAGGATGCTTTCTGGCAGGAAGGAGACTGTTTCCATCACAAAAATGCAGTTTCCTAAGGTGTCCCCACCCCCACCCCCCCCAGGCTGCCAGGGATCTGGCCCCGTGCAGGTAGAACAGATCGGCTTCCCTTCAACAGCTCGGCGCTCCAGCTGCACAGCACGCGATTGCCTCCTGAGTAATCCTCATGGCCAGGCAGATGGCATTTTAAAATTAATCTTTTTTTGGCTTCGGCAGGCTTTTTTTTTTTTTTAATCTCTGCAATCCCTCCTCTTCTTCGCAGTCCTGTTGGCACCACCAGGATAGTCCAGTCCTCCTTTTAGTATGGAAAATACCAAGGCAACAGTCTTGCCCGACCCCTAGACAGGAACAAACACAGCACCGTACCTCAGGGATGGAGAGCAGCTCCAGGCCCCTCTGGGGACACAAGGGACAGCAGGGCAGCAGCAGACAGACTCTTGCAGGTGCCACAAGCGCTGGGCACCCGTTTGCTGGCCCATCGCTAGCTGCTCACTTCTGTCCTCTGCAATTTCAGCTGCCTACAGGCCCGTGAGGCCAGCTGGTGGGTGACACTAACAGCACGAGACAGCAGGAGACATTTCCAGCACAGACCTCCAGGAGGAGGCTCCTGCCAGGGCCCTTCTCCCTCCTCCCCACACTGGGTGGGAGGCTGCAGAGCCCCGTGCAGCACCAGCTCCCCCAGCACCCTGGGGCTGCCCTGCTCGGCCCAGGCGTGCAGAGGCTCCACGCTCACCTGTACGTCCTCCCTCGCACCTGCCCGCCGTAGTAGCCTCCGCGCTGGGAGAGCCCTCCCCGGGCGTGGAAGCGGCCGCGGTACCGGCCGCGGTCGGTGCTGCTGATGCCTGGCATGTTGGTTCTCTTGGGCAGCACCTGGAAGGCAGAGGCACCTCAGTCACTGCCAGCGCTGCAGGGCTGGGGACAGGGGCACTGTCCCAGAGGCTCATCCAGCTCCTACCTTAATGATGCGGCCTCTGAACGTGCTCTCGTCCAGCTCCACCGCCGCCTTCACRGAGCTCTTCTCCTCGAACTCGATGTAGGCGTACCTGCGAGGGGAGAGGTGCGAGCCCCGCCGTGGGGACAGCCCCAGCACAGCGGCTGCCACCAGCCCCTTCCCCAGCCCCCTGCACACCCAGAGATGCCACAAGGCTCCTGCAAGCCAGCCGGTCTGCCCTGCAGCAGGCTCAGGAGATGAATCCGGTGGCTTCCCACTGCAAAGCTGCTCCGTGGGGACCACTCATCCCATGCAGTGGGGCTGAGCACCACAGCAAGTGCAGCACTCGTGGAAAGGGCAGCCAGACACGCTCTGCAGGCCAGCAGCAGCCACGGCTCAGCACACACACAGCTCTGCAGGCCCTGGAAGGTCAGGCTCTTGCCCTCCACACAACACCCAAATGAACCAGCACTGACTTCCACCTGGGGACCCTCCCCAGGCCGAGGGGCACAGGGCCCAGGTGCCTCCCAGTGCACACCAGGCACCTCCCAGCACTCGGGTGCTGGCAGCACCAGGTCCTGCCCTCTGCATGCAGTGGGTCACAGTGAGCTGCTTTCCAGGGACTCAGCAGCTCCTTCTATAGGACCATGGCATTGCATAGGGCCTCATTTAGAAAGCCTTTCTGCCAGGGCTTGTGCTGAGGCCACTAACTCACAGCAGCACAACCCCCTTCTCTGCACTGGGAGTTTCAACCAAGCTTGGTGTCTCAGGCAAAGGGCTGCAGCCCTCAAGCTGGCAGCTTTGGAGGAACCACCTCCTCCCCTGGGGCCAGCAGTGCTGTTTGCAGAGCAACAGGGTGGAGAGGAACAACCTCAAACCACAGCACACAGCAAGGCAGGACACATGGCTGTTCCCAAAGCCTTGGAGCACAGGGTCTGAGCCARGGCAGCACCCTCAGGCACCCCTAGCCCACCCCAACCCAGGCCCCATGCACCATACCGACCCTTTGGGGTGTCCCGAGAACTTGTCACAGAGGATGGTCACCCGGTTGATCTGCCCACAGCTGTTGAAATGAGACTCCAGCTCCTCCGCAGTCCCACCATAGTCCACCTGCAACAACAGTTCCAGCCCCTCAAGCACCACCAAGAGCCTCTGCCAGCCTGAGCTCTCCAGGGCAAGGGGAGCCCTTAAGAGCCCTCTGCAAACACCTCATCCCTTCCCCAACAGCAGGGAAATCCTCACTAGCATGCTCATGTCACCACTGCACCCAGATTTGCACTGTCACAGGTCACCTCTGCCTGCAAGGAAAGAGGCACCACCTGGATGACCAAGACCAGGGCTCAGTTTATCCTTAACTAAGGCCTTGCTGTCTCCTGAGCAAGCCAAGGCCACCATGCACTCACCCAGAGGGGTCTTTTCCAAGGCTGAGAGTCACCAAAGCTCTGCATCACTTATGTCCCCAGGACATCTGTGATACAGGTTGTAACTCAGGGAAGCAAAGGCATCACCCTAATCACCTGGTCTGAAAACCCAAGTCCAGGATTTGGAACAGCACACGTGGCTCCTACTTACATTGCCCACATAGATGGATCGCTGATCAACCTCTATTTTCTCCTCTGTTGTCTTTGGGAACAGACCTGCAGAGACAAGGGTTGCCCTTAAGCATCSGGTGGAGGAGCAGGAACCCTCTTGCACAGCTGCAACCAAGCAGCTCCATGCTCTCAGCYCTGATTACTGCAAGCTCCCCATGTCCACACTTCTGTTTGGGTTTGGGCATTCCCAAATGACCTACAACAGCCTCATCCTCCACCCTTTGGCTTTTATCTCTCCAGAAAAAAGCAATTTATTCATTAATTTACTGAATTTTGGCCTGTAGAGGTGGAAGGCAAGACTGGATATAACTCAAATTAGCACCATGTCCTGCTAAGGACACATGCAGTCCACAGCTGACAGAACACCGAGGAGTGCTGAGAGAGGCAGAGCTGCACAGTCCTGTTCTGATGGACACCCCRGCCCTCAGGGTGTCCTTGGTGGAGGGAGCAGCACCCAGCCACAGCCCGTACCTGCCTCCGAGCTCATGAGGAAGCGCCTCTCTGCTTCCAGCTGCAACTCCTTCAGCCTCTCRTCCTCCTTCTCCATCTCCTGCACTCTGGCTTTGATGGCCTCCAACTCCTGAAATGCAAACCAAGACTTGTGTGAGCAGCATGTGCCTTTATCCCACTCCCCAGGTCAGGCTGCAAAGTCACAGCCCTGCACGAAGCATCTGCACAGGGCATCCAGGCTCGGGGTAGTGGGTACTGGGGACAACAGCTGCCTCAAGAAAGGGAAGTTCAGCTCTTATCTTCACAAGAGAGAAGAGAGAAGAAAACAGCATTTGCTGGAGCAGAGATGACCCAGCAGCACTGGGAATACCAGATGTACCCAAAAATTCAAACTAGTGATGACTAGTAGCCATTTACTTAAGCTCAGGCAGACACAGCTCAATGGGGAAAGCTCTACAGCAGGAGAGTGGCAGCTCAATTACAGCTTTGATGACAGACATCATAAGTAAGATAACTCTTATTCCTAATTTTGGGGAATAGTTGAACAGAGGGGTAGAAATTATGCCATTTTCTTGTAAAATAGTGAAAATGGATTTCATAATTCACGAAACACTCACTGGGTCCTGCACACCCAGCTCCTCCGCACTGTCCCCCTCCAGATTGCTCAGGTCCAAGTCTTCCTCTGGGGTCTTCTGGAGAGCTGGCATCTCTGTCACATCCCAGGACTCCTCCACTGCTGCCAGGGATGGTGGGTCCTGCCACCAAATCCCAGAAGTGTCCAGAAAGAGAGGGCTGGGTAYGGAGAGGAGCCATGAGCAAGGAATAGTTCACCACACAGGCAAAGGCTTTGAAGACACTTCTCCCAGAAGGAAGAACAGCATCCAAAGGAGCTCACTCCCAGAGCTGCAGGCAGGCTTGCCTAAAGGAGGCTAAAGAAGGCTGTTTGGTGCATGTGTATTGCACCACTTCCCCATATGGAAGGGTATGGAAGGGACTGGGAAGCCCAAGTATTATTACTTCAYTGAGGTCAAGGGAAGGGGAGGCAGAATCTGCCCCAAAAGAAGAGCTCCCAGGCTCTATGCAGGGACAGCATGGATTCCAGCCTCACACAATTAAAGGCTGACCTACCTACTACCAGGTTTCATCYCCTCCTCTGGGCTCACAAAGCAACAAACTCTCCTGCCTCCAAACGAGAAGTTGATCCAGCCAGGAGCCTGGAATTCCAGCACCTCCCCCTGCACCAGGTCCCGCCCAGCAACCCCTAGCCCGGCCCACAGAGCTGGGTCACCAACGGTACCGCCTGCCGAACCGGGCCCTACCTGGCCCGGGCCCCGAACATGCTGCTCCCTCCTCGTATCCGGCTGCGCGGCGCCACGTGCGGATCTCCCGCCACCACGTGCCCCTCTCGCGCCGGCGCGCCACTTATCATACATCAGTAGCCAATCAGCGCAGGGCGCGCCGCGAGGCCCCGCCCCGCGGCGGTAGGGCGGGGGCGCAGCGGCCCCTCGACGAGTCGCAGGTTCGAGTCCCCGGCCAGGTTGGTCACCGGTGGTGGCCACGCTGGGGGACATCGCGGCTGTTTCTCTGAGCAGGGGACCGCGCAGTGCTGCAACCAGRGGGGTTGCAACGCTGCCCCAGGCCCTGGGACCCCCCAGTACAAGAGGAGAGCCCAAGGCAGGGTACAACATCTTGGGAGAAAATATCCCTTTGCAAACAGATGGGGAATTCTTGAGGGGAATCTGAATGCAACCCACAGTGTCACCTACCRCAGATACCCTGTCCCGGAGCCAGGTGTCGGGGGACGCACCACCTCCAGGACATACAGACACTGCAGTGTGGTGAGGTGCACGGGGGCCAAGCTCAAGCAGAGGCTGTGGAGCCCTCTGGGTGATATTAAATTGTCTTTATTACGCAGATACAGAGTTAAGAACAGACAGAACCTGAATCATAAAGTTTACATCTTGCACAGGTCAAACATACAGTACACTTAGAGAAAGCAGGAAACAGCAAGGGGGGGGACAGCATGCCGAAGGAAAGTCCTATCACGTCATCTCTCTAGGCTGGCGGGGGGAGCGTGGCAGGGCAGGCCCCCCTGGCTTCCAGCGCCCCGGCCCGCATCCCTGCGCCGAGCATCCCCAACCGATGCCCGCGGGAGCATCCCCGTAGCCGGAGACGGGGCAGCCACGCGCGGAGCCCCGAATGGGATCCAGGAGGAGAAGGGCACTGCTCCCGGGATGGCCGTGAGCCAGAGGAGAGGAGCGCGGCGTGAGTGAAGCCCTGGCCGGGGCTGCCCAGCCGGGCATAGGGCAGGGGGAGGATGGCTCTGCATTGCTTCCCGGGGTGGCACTTTGGTTTCAGCTGGCATTCGGGATGGGAATGCGAGGAAGGGGCTTCACCCCGCTCCAGCCGCCTCCTCCGTGCCCTCCCAGCCCCTCTGCCCAGAGGCTTCCAGGCCAGCAGGACCCCCGTGAGCCCTCCAGCAGCTGCCCCCGCGCCGCTGTCCTCCCCTCATTGCTAATTTTTGGGAATATCACTCTTTAAAGCTGTCTATCCGGGGCTGGCCGCCTGCGAGCACCGCGCCGCCCGTCCCCTCCCTCCCTCCGCTTTTGGTTTCAATGCAAGGTTCTTTAGGGCATTTTTATTCTTATTAAAAGAAAGCAAAACAAAACGGAGCGAAGCCGAAAGGAAGTGAAACGAGAGCAGAGCCGCTGTGTAAATGCTCTTGCCTGCGGTTTCCCGGTGAGACGGAGGTAGAGAGCAGGGCCCGGAGCGGCGCCGGCGGCCGGACACGCACGGCAGGGAGGGCAGGAAAAGGCTCAGACACCCCCGAGAGCAGCGGCCCCGCAGCAGGTGCATCTGCAATACTCATATATTACCTCTTCTCAGGAAACGTAAGAAAAATAGACAATAATACATATGCCACACCATAAATAAAGTGAACGGCGCTCGAGGGGCCCCCGGCGCGGCTCTCGCAGCCCCGGTGGGACGGGGACACGCAGGGGGAGTTCTGACCTGCCAAGGGAGGAGATCCTGGGTGCATGCGGCCCTACCCCGAGATCTGGGGTGCATGTGGCCCTGCCTCGAGGTCTTGGGGTGCATGCAACCCTGTCTTGAGGTCTCAGGGTGCATGCAACCCTGCTCCAAGGTCCGGGGTACATGTAACCCTTCCTTGAGGTCTCAGGGTGCATGCAACCCTGTCCCAAGGTCTCGGGGTGCATGCAGCCATGCCTCGAGGTCTCAGGGTGCCATGCAACCCTACTGAGAGGCTTTGGGATGCATGCAACCCTGCCTTGAGGACGGACGAGGTCTCAGGGTGCTCTGAGCCCTGCCTTGAGGTCTTGGCTTGCATGGCCATGCAACCCTACTGCGAGGTCTTGGGGTGCACTCAGCCTTACCTCGAGGTCTCGGGGTGCACACAGCCCTGCCCCAAGGTCTCGGGAGGCAGCAGGACCCTTTGGCGAGGGAGCTCAGCGGGGCTGGGAGCCGCTGGGATCCCTGGAGCAGTTTCCCACCCCAGCGGAGCGGGAGAGCCGGCCCCTGCCCAAGGGCACCGGGCAAAGCCAGCRCAAACGCACAGGATGGTGTCTGCAAATGCGGAAACTAAAGCTCCTCACCRAGCACGCGAATCCTGCGTCCTTTCAGTTCAACCTAGCTCCTAAACGTCACATCCTCCAGTGGTTTCTCATCATCTTTTATTTGGCAAATGTCTCTCATTATTATCACTATCATCATCATCATCATTATTATTATTTTTGGACCTCTGCAAACACTATTTACATTCACATTAACATACAGCATTCGCGCCCTGGCTGTGCCGGGCTGTGCTCCGGCCTCCCTCCTCGCGGAGCCGTGGGACTTTCCGTATTGCACTCCCGTCCTCTGCGCTTTGTACAATGGCGCAAGAAATACAAAATAATCTACATCGTCTTTTCTTCCTCCCTTCCCTCCTCCTCCTCCTCCTCATTGTCGGCGAGGAAGGCGCTGCGGGTCCCTCGCCGTTGCTTTCCTCCTGGAGAGCGTCGTGAAAAACAAATCCGGTGCAAGGAGCGGAATTAAAATAAAAAAAAAAAAAAGAAAACCCGGCATTTAAAAGCAACCCAGCAGCACCCGAGGTCCACGGGGGGCTGCAGCGGCCGCCCGGGGCCCTGCTCGCTGCAAAGCGGGCACAGCGAGCGCCAAGGTGGCACGAGGCGGGCGGCCAAGGGCCTCGCAGCAGCTCCTCTGCCCCGGGGCGGCGAGGTAGTGGGGCACTGGCCGTGCTGCCCTTCCTCTCCATCATCATCATCATCATCATCATCATCATCATCATCATCATCATCATCGCGTCCTTGCGTTGAGAGCAGCTCGCGAGGCGCCGCGGGGCGATGCCGCGGAGCCGGCGCCGGCGGCCCTGGAGCGAAACGAACTTTGGCAGTGGAGAAACGTTTGGGTCCTTCCCGTTTTTGGATATCCTTTGGAGCAGAGGTGAGTCCGGTATGTTCTTGGCTAGCTAGCAAGGTAGTTTACAGGTGAGCTTCCGTCATGGGGTCCAACGTCGCGGCATCTGCTTCTGTCTTTTTTGGGATTCTTTTTCTTTTTTTTTTTTTTTTTTT